TTGGATGGTTGGTTGGATGGTTGGTTGGATGGTTGATTGGATGGATGGTTGGTTGGATGGACGGTTTTATGAATGGATTGTTTCTTAGTTGGTTGGTTGGATTGTTGGATAGATGGTTGACTGGATTATTTATCGAATAGTTTGTATAGTTGGTACTGGTAGACTGGTTGATTAGTTTTTAGAGGATAAGTTGTTCGTTTGGTAAGCAGGGTTGGTTAGTTAGGTGATTAGTTTTTGGGTTGGTTTGTTGGATTCTTATTTAGATGGTTAGTCTGTTGGTTAGTAGGTTGGTTAGTTGGTTGGTTAGTTGGTTGGTTAGTTGTTAGTTTAGTTGGACATGGTTAGTTGTATGTTTGTTTGAATGGTTGGTTAGATGGTTAGTTGGTTGTTGGTCAGGCAGTCACCAAAAGATTGATTGATTGATTGATTGATTGATTTTCAGGTATATTGCGAAGGGTATGCGCGAGCCCTGGACCCGAAAAGGAGAGTTGAACAGACGATACAACAAGTTCCAGCCAAAGATTGCTTTCCCTCTTAAGGTTTTTTTTTCTCTGATGTGAAATATATCCCGTGTCACATTAAGTATCTCCGATGTGACGTTTATTATCTCCGGTGTGACGTTAAATGTCTCCAGGGTTATGTTAAATTTCTCCGGTATGACGTAAATATCTCCCGTGTGATTTTAGATATCTCCGTTGTGACGGTAAATATCTCGGTTGTGACGTTTAATTTTTTCCGATGTGACGGTAAACATCTCGGTTGTGACATTTAATTTCTCCGATGTGACGTTAAAAATCTCTGTTGGAACGTTAAATATCTCGGTGTGACGTTAAATATCTCCGATTTGACATAAATTTCTCAGTTCACATGGGTCCTCTGTTAAGGATTTTTAAGTACTGATGAAAGAACATGGACAGCACCTTAAAAATATTAAAAAGACGACATTAATAGAGTTTTGTTTTTGTAGGAGAAGCTTGCAGTTTACGAAGTTCCTGAGTCCAAGTACAAGGGAGAGAAGGACGATGCTTAGAACAACTAAAACTCGTCTAAAATTAATCTTCTCAAGTCCTCGAAAGGATTTTTGAAGAATTCATTTCTGAAAATCCAGAATAAATGAAAAGTTGATTATTTGTTTCAGATAAATATGTAAACAGAGAGGTTGTAAGTTGTCCAGTTATTTCACGGTAAAAATTTATTTTCATACAGCTAGTTTCAAGTCAATTTGGTTTAAAGAGTGGTACGATTCACAATTCGGTTTTGTACCTTTTAATCCTTGTCTTATAAGGGATAAATAAGATATCTTTATTTTTTATTCCTTAAAATTGATAATTTTCAATTGTTGTTTTAATCTTTAGTGAATTGCGGATTTAAGCTGCAGAGAAAATGAAGGAAATTGTTAGAAATTAACACTTATCTAGACAGAAAAACAACGATGTCTTCCTTATTGTAATCAAGAAACAGGTTTTAAGCAGTGCTTAGGATAGGATCCGGATCCGTTGGATCCGCAAGATTTTGGCTTCCTGGATCCGGATCCGCAAAAATATCCGGATACAAGGGGTAAAATATCAACCATAAACTGCAAAAAAAAAATTTTACTCCTCTGAACTTCTGAAAAAAGAGATTATAAAAATTTCCTCATTTCTGAATGGTTCAACAAGTTCTAAGATAAAAATATGCAAAAAAATAATTTTTAAAAAATTTGAAAATTATGTTTTGTAAAAAAGATTCAGTAAATCTTAAAAAAATTATCCGGATCCATTTCTTTCCAGTGCGGATCAAGGATCCGTATCCGGATCCGCGTCAAAAATAAATGGATCCTAAGCACTGTTTAAGTATGACATTGTGAATCGACATATCACTCTTGAAAATACAGAAAGAATGTAAACAGTAATTATCCCTACGACAAAAGGTTATTTTTTTTATTTTTTTTAGGTTATTTCATGACTTTGTGACTCAGTGCTTCTTTCTAGCAGATGTATGTCTTCCTATTTACAATACATTAACAGGTAAACTATTTAGCTCTAAGATTAATTCCAGTTTCATAGTTTCCTTTTCTTAATGTCATATTTAATATTATGCATAGAAATTAGAGACACCCACCCATGATTTAATGAATTACAATGTATAATTTAACTATAAGGTGTAAAGAAGGTATGCATGAAATGTTTAGATGCGTCAAAAAATCGTTAATCATAATTATGTTTATTACACAAAGACTATTATGGACATTTTTTACTCGGTTAGAGATTTATGAGACCAAGATCTCCAGGGTCTCCAGGCGGATGTTTCTCATGAATCTCATCAGTAGCTTTTCCAATTCAGCAATATTCTGACTTCTGAGGCTAATTCTTCTCCTACTTAATCTACTCCTAGCTCCAGTATAGACCACCGACTTTCGATTGGATTGAGGTTCGGAGAGTTGAATGCCATTCCTCCGATGATCCTGGAGCCACCGAAGGCTTTTAACAGCATTATGACGACGTTCTCCATCCTGCATAAATTTCAGACTTTGGACACTTTCTTTGAGTGAAAGGTAGAGTCCACACATCATAAGCAGATGGTTTACTATAAAACAGGTTCAACCAAATATCTTTTATAGCCGATAAAACTTGAAGTTATATTGAACTAACCTAGGTACCAAGAACTAGAGATGGGGAAGATCGTTCTTGAGAACAAACGAAATTTTTATTGAGCGATGGTGTCGTTCAGGAAGAAGAAAAAACAATGGACGAACGACTCGTATCGTTTGAAAAAACTAGCGTTTTATTCTGAACGAACTGTCGTGTTTAAGAATTCACACTTTTTAAATCAAAACTGGTCCCGAAATCAGATCTTTTGTATTGTGTATCTGAGGATCAAGCATTGATAGGGAAAATCTTGATTCCTCCCGGCTTTTCCGTGGCGATCGTACCCTATGAGGTAGGGGGTGCGATGAGCCCAACAAAATGACCTCCGGAGCCTCCTGATACGCAAAATTCCCTCCAAGCCCCGCTAAACCGTCTCTGCACGATGATTACTTTAGCATGTTAATTATTAAATTCACGATGAAGTGAGCAAGAATGAGTAGTGAGTACACATTAGTTTCATAAATATTTTACATGTGTATATTGTACGAATCAAACTATGTATATTAGCACCAATCCACAAAACAAAATAGTTTTTGTGAACAACTTAAATTTGTGCTTTTATTTTATGCTCAGTGTACACTTTTCATAAGAAAACAAGTTAAGATCAATTAAATGAATTAATATTTGAACTTTGTGGATTAAACGATTCTTAAAACTATTGTGGATTCTACTAGGAAGAGATACATTTTTTTGATTGGTTAAGCCATAAAAGGTAATTAAAAAAATACAGCACGCGGAGATCAATATGCGGACTACGGAGGCTTGGAGACGTAGCAAGAGGCACGGAGATGGTTTTGTGGGACTTAATGTGATTCTCCGGACTAGAGGTCATTTTGCGGGGCTTATGGCGGCTCTGCACCCCATCCCTCACCCTGCAAGGATAACTTAAATAAGGATTAAGCACTTAAATTCTTAAGTTGTCATGTAGTGAATTTTGAGAAAAAGTGCTGTAAATTTTCGCAATTTTACGAAAAAGTTTTAATTTTATACCTGTTCTAATATATTCCCTTGCTAAACTCTAGTTACAATTTTTAAACAATTATAAGGTTTTAAAGCTCAAAAAACGGTATTGTTAAAAATAAGAATTTTCAGATTTAAATTTTTTTTGCATTTTAGCGCAAGTGGCGCCATAATGGAGCTGGTTAATGATGCCGCTTGTACGGTACAAGCAGCGGCAACTAGTACGTACAACAACGTGACAGAATCCCTTCAGGTAAATTATATACAGTAACAGTTCATTATTGTTTTTTAATTGTTTATTGTCTGACACCTTTAATTTAATCATAAAACGTTATATCAGAGGATGAAAGTTTCGAACTGTGATTTGGCCCAAACCTGACAGTGAGTGTAAAGTTTGGGTCGAAGGAAGGCAGTTACCGTTTTTTACGGTTTTTCAGGTTTGCCCACAAAAGATGAGAGTCGACTTTACGGAGCCCTTTTTCTTACATTGATGGTTCAGATTTAAACTTTTTGTTTTATTTGCAAAGTCATGGTCAAGGCCAAGGATCAAATTTAACCTTCAAATTAACAGAACTAAACGTGTTTAGGTCGTCATTAAAGCCGCATCCTTTGTGGGTAACTCTGTAAACTGTGAATAAAGATTATGTTGTTAGTTGTCTAGTTCAGTGGTGACCACCTTTTTGCGAGTGATAATGGGTTTTGTTTTTGTTTTGAAATGTTATAACAAAAGTTGTTAAATACTCCAAAATCGGATCCCGGATTAAATTTTGTGAAATTGTTTTTTTGGGGTATTTATTAAGATTAAGTTTTCCCTGTGGATGATAATATTTGTGCCCAAACTTAACACTCAATGTCAGGTTTTGAACATAAGCACAGTTTGGAACTTGCTTCTCATGTACGTCAATACCGTTAATATGTTTTATTTATCCTCTTCATTTATGATTTTTGAGACTTATAAACTTATAAGTCAGCAAACTTGAAATTGTAACATGTGCGAAAAGGGAAAACCTTGCATTCTGAAAATGGTGCAGGTTTTTAATAAAAAGGAACCTGACCGCTCACAGTTATAATTTTCGAAAAGAAGAAAATAATGTTAATTTGTAGATATTTTCATATCACATGATATGTTGGAAATAATTTCTTTAATTAATATTATCACCTCGACACAGGAAAAGTTTCTAAATTGTTAATCATAATGCCCAATAATGCCATAATGCCAGACAGTGTCAGGTTTGGAATTTAAGCTCAGCTTGGAACTGTATTCTCTGTTTTACTGTACAGGGGTGTTTATTTTTTTTAATTCCCCCCCTTTGATGTATGGGGGGAGGGGGAGTGAAAAATGGGACATCCATAGGCAAATTTTTTTCATTCCTTTTGGAACAATGTTTTTTGATTTTCCTCCTAAAATCACTTATCTTTCACTTAAAATCATTTATTTCACCAATTCTGTAAATAAAACCTTTGCTCAGTGCAATCAAATATACCTTCTGGGAGCAAAAATTAATTTCTCAAAGAGAGGGGGGGGGTAATAAAAAGATTTTACGTAAAATATACTCCCCTGTTACTGTATTTTCTTTGTGAAATCTGCTCTTTTTAAATCTTTATTGTATTTATCATCTAGGAATTGGCTAAAAGTTTCCAGGAATTTTTTCTCTGCTTGTTAAATAATTTATTCAGTAATGAGCTTTTACAGGGAACATTAAATATTAAAACAGTTTCTGGCACACAGAGATGAGAATGTAGAGTGAATTATCCAAACCAAATATGTGTCGGTAAAATTAAATACTCTCCCAACTTAAAAGAATCGGATACGATATAATCTAGAGAGGGGGGGAGGGGGGGGGAACTAAGGTTTTTGACGTTTCCAACCAACTGCTTAAATGCCTTATTTTAACCTATACTTGACTAAATCTATATTTAGACCTACTTCCAGTCATTGGATTTAAACATTATATAGCTCTTTAGAAAGTCTTCAACAAAATGAAGAAGGTTGCACAGTCTTTGCGGAGAAATTTTGCAAAGATTTTTGCACAGACGCCTTTAAGGAAATTTTCACATTGTCTGTTATCCTTTAATACACATTCATTTTTTGAAAACTTTGCAAATATTTTTGCATATTTGAATTTGCAGGACCAAGAGCTTTTAAAAAATATATAGTTTATCTTAAATCACGCATTTGTTTTTACAAAAAAAAACGTTTTTGCAAAAAAAACTTGTTTTGCAATAAATATTTGAAATTATGCAAAATTGCTTAATTAAAAAAAATCAAAGTTGAGCCCAAGGGCTTTTTAAAAATGTATCAAATGTTGTATCACAATAAGGAAATAGAGGGGGGGGGTCCTTGTGACCCCCCCCCCCAGACTATTTTGGGTAAACATGACCCTAACCTGAATAGGGTTAAGCATTTTAAGGTTTTAAAACTTAGAGGTTGTACAAGAATCTGAGACGTAAAATAGCATGCTGCTTGTTGTATTATATTATGCAAAATTTTTACTCCTACCAAAGATATATAAAAAAAAACGTTTTTTCAAAACGATTAGTAAAATAAACCATTATCCGTAAATTGTGTTGGTTAATACCTTTGAACAGAGAAAAAAACTTCACAAAATGTAATAAAACTAAACCTATCGAAGATACAATTTTGCTTTGAGTGTTATATCTCAAATTTTTGTGAAACACTTTAAACGTCAACATTTCGTAAATGTCTGAAAACAATGCACATCTATACACTTCTTGTAATTTTAATATTTTCTCAGGTCCATTGTCAGACCGTAGCTACCAACCTTCTTAATTATAAATATCAGGATAGATCGTTAATGGATACATCACCAGAGTATCCTGACACATTGCAGGTGAGTAATATTGTAATTTTATTATTGATTTTTTGTGTTTATTAATATTTTTAATGCCAGGAATCTTTTTGCATTTTTCTTGTAATAGACTTACATTGCCGCCTTTTATCGCAGTAAGCTTAGGGTCCTAGTGATGAACATTGAACTTACGCCTCAAAACTTCGCTAAAAAATTATCTAAAATTTTTTTTTTAAATGTCGAGCTGAGAGCCATTTTAAAGAAATAACAGATCAAAGAAATCACTAGTAAGTCCGAAAATAAAAGTTTTTTTAGAAACAATATCTCGATCAAAAGATTTATCTAAAGCCGCTGAATACTGCTGATATTTTTATTTGTTTAAAGTTATTAATTTGTTTGTTTTATTGCCAAAAACCAGTTTTTGCACTTAGTTGTATATTCAATAATATTTAGACATTAGACACATACAATGATATTTAGACATCTTATTTAGACATTAGACACATACAATGATATTTAGACGTCTGATTTTGACATTAGACACATACAGTGATATTTAGACATCTTATTTAGACATTAGACACATACAATGATATATAGACATCTTATTTAGACATTAGACACATACAATGATATTTAGACGTCTGATTTTGACATTAGACACATACAATGATATTTAGACATCTTATTTAGACATTAGACACCGTATTTAGACATTAGACACATACAATGATATTTAGACATCTTATTTTGACATTAGACACATACAATAATATTTAGACATCTTATTTAGACATTAGACACATACAATAATATTTAGACATCTTATTTAGACATTAGACACATACAATAATATTTAGACATCTAACTAGTTATCTAATTAATGAATCTGTATGTAATCAATCAAATCAATGTTTTCTGACTGATCTTTTGTCAATATATTTTGAAGAATTTTTCAGTGTTAATAAGACACATTTTTTATCGAATTTTTTCTTTAATTGCTCTCAGCTCGCAATTAAAAAAAAATGTTGACTATTTTTTAGTGAATGTTTAGCAGAAAATCGACTCACCCTAATGTACTTCTTAAAATTGAGGGTCACCTTAAATTACAAAAACAGCCCCTTCAATGCAATAATTAGTTGTTAAAACATAATTTATTATACAGCCAGTATGGATTCTTGGTGAGCAGTGGAGTGCGAAACATGATCTGGATGAACTCAAGGATATTGTCATGTCTAGGCTTTGGTTCACATACAGGTATTTATATAGACCCCCTCCCCCCCCCACCCTAGATTTAGAGGAACTCAAGGATATTGTCATGTCTAGGCTTTGGTTCACATACAGGTTTTTATATAGAACCCCCCCACCCGCAAGGAAAGGAAACATTATATGAAACTTTTATTTGAATTGTTGTAGGAGGGATTTCCCTAGTATTGGTTCTAGCGGGTGTTCAAGTGACCAGGGCTGGGGTTGTATGCTACGCTGTGGACAGATGCTTCTTGGTTCCTGTCTTCAAGATCTACATCTTTCCAGGTAGCTTCAAAACACCAGGGTTGGCAGAAAACAACAGCTCAAAAAATTCCACTGACAGTGTTTTTTTTTTGAGTTTTATTGGGTTCTTTATAACTTTCTAATTTTCGCCTTATCTTTACTTTATATTGATAAACCATTCAAGTAATGTAGTCTACTTTCAATCATATTGGTTATCTGGTGGTTTACAACTTTACAGCACTAAAATTGACACTTCACTCAAGTGTGGTGAATGAAACCGATGTTCTTAACAAAAGGAATATTACTTGAAAAATAAATTATGATTCATTCCGAAATTCCGATAAATCGTAAATAATGCTTAGGATCCGGATCCGTTGGATCCGCAACATTTTTGCTTTCCGGATCCGGATATGCGGATCCTCGGATCCTGATCTAAGGGTCAAAATCAAAAAACGGCAAAAAAAAATCAACCCAAATGAAGTATTAGCATGAAAATAAACGGAAAAAAAAGGAAATAAAATTTTAAATTCTTCTTTTGTTAAAGAAATCAAGAAATGTTTATGACCTTTATCAGGATCCGGATCCATTTTTTTCTAGATCCGCATCATAAATCAAATGGATCCAAAACACTTGACTAATTACAATTCTCTCCATTGTTTCTGTGAAGATAAAATGAACTGAATCTTCTGTAATGAAAATTGCTGTACTTATATCACATTTCATCTTTATCTTCGTAAATATATGTTTTGATGGTTTGTCGCGCTGACCGGTCTTAGCGGATAATTTCTTTAAATAAATATCAGTTCAATGCAGACTCTTGATATTTACCGTATATATATCTGGATAAATAGAGAGGTGTTAGTTTGTTACAGCGCATTTAATTTGAAAAAATCAAGGAGATACGGGCAAGATTGTTACACTTCTAATCCATATCTTTACAACCTTATGTCGTAGACCTTGATATTTTGACATGGAAATGTGCAATAGTAAAGATGTAAAATATTAAAAATTACACTTAAAGTTTGAAAAAATGTACAAATTAGATAACTTTCATAAATGTTTTAAATAAAAAAGAAAAAACGTAAAAAATTTGAAATTATAGTTTTATAAATTACATAATATATATAGATTATAAAATAGAAACAATCGTTACATCATGCATTTATTGACTAGGAGGTGGAGGTGGAGCTCAGAATCTTGGAAGGAGGAGAAATACAGAAATATTTTATCAAAATTCCAGGAAAATATTAAGATGATACTATTCTTAACTTATTATTAATCGTTAAACAAATAAAGGGATTGTTGGTGTGAGTTCAAGTGACCCTCAATGCGAAGATGTCAACGCCCGATTTACAACGGTAGCCTTGAAACCTTTATTTGATCAAAAATGGGGAAGATATCATCGTGGTTTTTCTAACTAGTTTCTGTTTCTTTTCTTAAACAAGAAATGCGCAAGTTACTTTAGCAGAGAAACTGCAAATGAAAATAAACAGTTTAAAGAAACAAAAAACATTGATAGCTCGCAAAGAGTTTATTTCTGTTTCTTCTCAAACAAGAAATGCGCAAGTTACTCTCGCAGAGAAACTAATTTAACTCTAAGGGTACCGTTGTGAATCGGGCATTGCCATCTTTCCATGGGAGTCACTTAAAACTACGCTGACAGTTCCTTTAAGCAAGACTTATATTCTTCAAAATGGAAAAATGTGGTCCATGGGGACTTTACAAGGAAAAGGAATGATGTTTATGGTCCATGGGGACTTTACAAGGAAAAGGGAATGATGTTTATGGTCCATGGGGACTTTACAAGGAAAAGGAATGATGTTTATGGTCCATGGGGACTTTACAAGGAAAAGGAATGATGTTTATGGTCCATGGGGACTTTACAAGGAAAAGGAATGAAAAAAAATATCTTTAAATATTGGATTTGTAGGACAAGAAATCAGCCCCGTACAGTATTCATCAGGTAAATGTGAACGCTTTGCGCCCCTCTTTAAGAGATTGCGTAGAGTTTAAAGAGGTTAAAGCCAGATTTACAAAGGTATCCTTAATATCTTTGTGTGATTGTCGCCTTCAGAGATATGTGTGCGTAAAGTTACCCAAACACTTGCAGACAAAAATTAGTTTGTTTGTAATCTTTGTGACATAAACAATCTCAAGAACTGACGAGGGGTCAACCCAGACCAAAATATATTTTTAATAAATGTGGAACTAACATCTATTTTTTTTACTCTACAGAGGTTTGGTCCATCACCATCACCATCATTTTAAATATACGCTTGCAGACAGCCATTAAATGCCGGTGGACGCTCTGCACTGTATTGAGTAAATACTGTACGTACACGTTGCCGAGACTGTACGTACACAGCGCCGAGACTGTACGTACACCGCGCCGAGACTGTACGTACACAGCGCTGAGACTGTACGTACACAGCGCCGAGACTGTACGTACACAGTGCCGAGACTGTACATACACAGCGGCGAGACTGTACATACACAGCGCCGAGACTGTACATACACAGCGCCGAGACTGTGCGTACACAACGCCCGCCGGCATTTTTGGGCTAAAAACTTTACGCTTACAGCACCCCTTTAATAGTATTGGTTTCCGTCTTTATACGTGCACCAATCTTTTTTGCATTGTACATAATAAACCAATAATAGATTTTCCTGCTTAAATAAAAGATTTGTCCAAATACTTGCTTCCTGTCTTGTAAGGTTCAAACGTGTTTTTAAACTTTTTGTAGATTAAAAAAGGAAGTATCCGACATCCTTGATTGGTAAGAGGCTTAAACTGTGAATTGGACTCGCCATACTCAACGAATTAAGAGATTATGAAATTTCCAAATCTCTGAATTGTTAATCAAGTTTTAGCATAAAAATAAGCGAACAAATTCTGCTTTGTTAAAAAATTCAGTAAATCTTAACCTGGACCGGACCGGGATACATTTTTTCCAGTGCGGACCCAGGATCCAGACCCGCATCAAAACTAAATAGATCATTTCTAAGTAATGCTTGAAATTAAACCTACACTCCCTTCGACAATGAATTTTATATTTTAAGTTGTTTATTGGTGAATGTTGTATATTTGTTGAATATTCTAAATACTGAAATATTCTGAACTAATTTTGAATACCTTGAATAAATATTTCAATATTTTAAACCGGAATTTGGTGGATTTGCATTATAAAAGAACTAAGAATGAATATCATTTTATCATTATTTAAATTATTATCATGTCGTTATCATCATGATTTTGAAAATCATGATCATCATAATCATTAATACTATGATCATTACCGTTATTATCTATCTTTATATAATAAAACAAGACATTCGTATATATATATGTCTGCTATATTATTATAATTATTGTGATGATTATGATAACTAGGATTATTATTATTATTATTATTATTATTATTATTTATTATTATTTTCGACATCGTTAGTGTCATCATTATTTTATTCAGAGCAATACTTTTGACCCAGAAGTTCAGAAGTTACTCTGAAAATAGTTAATATCCCGACACGGGGACTTTTGTCAATAAAATGTATACCCCGGTATAGCTAACAACGACGAAATGCTCCTGAGTGGTCGTCCATTAAATATTATTGAAGTGCTTTATATTTGTCAATGTTAAACTTTACAAATATATTAAACCACTCAACAAATATACTCATTCAGGAATATTATCAAAATTTAGAACAAATATGGATTTTGAACATTTATTTATCGTTTAGATATTATGACCATTGACCACGTGTACATGATTTTGCTAATGGTCATGTACTGTGTAGATTTCGTTGATGGGAGAAAGTGTTGAGAATAAACCAGTTGGTACATGGTTCGGACCCAACACAGTTGTACAGGTATGGTTGATACACAGTTTGGACCTAATGCACTTGTACAGGTAAGGGTTGGTACATGGTGTTAACCTAATAGTTGTACATTTCCTAATCACTTGTACAGGTATGGGTTGGTATATGGTGTGGACCTAATACGGTTGTAATACGGTTAGGGTTGGTTCACAGTTTGGACTTAATACAGTTTTAATGGTAAGGGTTGGTACATAGTTCGGACCTTTTACAGTTGTACAGGTAAAGTTTGGTACATGGTTCGGACCTAACACAGTTGTTACAGGTAATGATTGGTACACAGTTTGGACCTAATGCACTTGTACAGGTAAGGGTTGGTACATGGTGTGGACCTAATACAGTTTTACAGGGCCTAATACACTTGTACAGGTAAGGGTTGGTACATGGTGTGGACCTAATACAATTGTATACTTATTGGTTGGTACATAGTGTGGACCTAATAAGGTTGTACAGGTAAGGGTTGGTACATAGTTGGAACCTATAATCCAGTTGTACTGGTAAGGGTTGGTACATAGTTCGGACCTATTACAGTTGTGCAGGTAAAGGTTGGTACATAGTTTGGACCTATTACAGTGGTACAGTTAAAGGTTGGTACATGGGCCAACAAATATGATCACTCTACCTACCAACCAACCTACCTACCTACCTACCTACCTACCTACCAGTTTACCTACCTACCAACCAACCTACCTACCTACCTACCTACCTACCTACCTACCTACCTACCTACCTACCTACCAACCTACCTACCTAGGTTCTAAGGAAGTTGGTGCGTATGGATCCATCAAATGATATTGTTATCCATGTTGCGATGGACAACGCTCTCATTCTTAGGTAAACAAACAATAAGATCAAATTTGAAAACTATATTTTCTAATTTTTCTAATTTTAAGTCTTATTTTAATTTTTAAGACATTAAACCATTTTTTTATATCTTCATTACTAAACAGGACTGACTTTGCAGAAAATCCGATTTTTTTAATAGACATTTTCGCCATTTTTGTTAATACGAGTAAATTTGAAAACCAGTCATTTCTTATTTTGAAAAGAATTATTTTTTTTTTTTGATTCTTAAAAATATGATTAAATACTGTTTGTCCTGCAGTGAGGTTAAACAAGCAGCGTTCTCACCCATGGAAGGGTCGGTTGACGGGGAAGGGGCGGCGGCAACCTCCTTAAAGTGGAGACCTCTCCTTCTTTGTTTATCTTTAAGGAACACTTAGTTTACTGTCTCCAGATTTACATATATTTGGATTCCAGAGTATTTTTCCTTTTAACAAGAGTGATTGTTCAATTTTGTTACAAAATAATTCCAAGAATTATTACTATAAAAGAAAGAGAAGAAAGCCCCAGATGCATGGGCGTATACAGGGTTTAATTATGTTCAATTTTACTACGGCATCTTTCCAAGAATTATTGATAAGAAAGAGAAGAAAGCGTCATATGCATGGGCGTATACAGGGTTTAATAATGTTCAATTTTACTACAGCATCTTTCCAAGAATTATTGATAAGAAAGAGAAGAAAGCGTAATATGCATGGGCGTATACAGGGTTTAATAATGTTCAATTTTACTACGGCATCTTTCTAAGAATTATTGATATAAAAGAAAGGGAAGAAAGCCCCAGATGCATGGGCGTATACAGGGTTTAATTATGTTCAATTTTACTACGGCATCTTTCCAATTATTGATATAAAAGAAAGAGAAGAAAGTGTCAGATGCATGGGCGTAAACAGGGTTTAATTATGTTCAATTTTACTACGGCATCTTTCCAAGAATTATTGATATAAAAGAAAGAGAAGAAAGAGTTTAATAAAAGGGGATAAATATTGTGCGAAGCTGCAAATAAAGGCCCCCCCCTTATCTCTTTTGAATTTCTGGGGAAAGGCAAAATGAAGTTAAGAGGAAACACAGTTTTTGGTCATTCCTTGATAATTCCTCCATCCCTTAATCTATAAAAACATTAAGGATGGTATCATCTTTTCTAACTTACCTTCAGATACCGAATTTAAAGAATTTGAGCCGCGGTTTAAATTTAAGCCGCGGCTTAATTATGGTTTCTTTCACTTATAATTGTATCAAATGTTTCAAGATTTAAGCCGGCGCTCGATTTAAACCGGGTTTTGGTGGATTTAAGCAGCAACTTAAATTCGTTAAATTCGGCCTCTGTTTATTTAGTTAAGCCTTATGTCTTATCTTCAGACTCTTAAAGGCCCTTGTTAATCAAGGATAAAACTCTTGAAATTGTGTCGACATTATGTTTAATTTTGCAACAATTGAAAATTAAGTGTGTTCTTCAAAAGGTTAGGATTAACTGAAATAAACCCTGTTTATATCAACGGATTAAAGACATGTTTAACCCTCCCTCAGGTAATCTTTTATAACTTTATGATTTTACTTTGAGAAATTTTATAACTAGTATTATTTATTTTGACACATTTTATAACTCTTATATTAATTATTTTGAGCACCTCTTCCTGGAAGGGTATGGGACGGGATGTCGGTATACATCAAAAATCGGTCAATATCAATTAATCCAGTGATATATTTAATAAGATTGTTGTGCCTCCAAGTATATCTTTTTTGGTGTAGTGCAACCTTGCAGCCATTCAAAATATGGTTTATAGTTTCTTGTCTTCTACCTTGCAATTCAGTGCCTGCCTGTAAACATTTTTTTTCTAAATCTTTGCATCATGAAAACATTTAAGTTTTTAATTCTTTCGTTTAGAAGTTCACTTCTTAATTTGAAGAAAGTTTGATATAAAGTTTTATGGAAGAATGGTAATATTAAAGTTATGGATCAAAACGGAATCTCAAAATGATAAAAGAGAATTTACTTTCATGTACAAGTAGTCAAAGATATGTTTTAAGTGAGGAATATAATTTCTGTAATTTTCTTTTTTAAACATTTTTTTTGGTTAAATTATTAGATTGCTTTATGAGGAGTATTAGGCACAATTAAGCACAATCGGTGGCACAGCTGTTTAAACGTCACTGGTGATATTTCAAGTCTTAGTGTAGATAAATAAGTCGAAGACTGAATCTCTTGTAAAATAAGTGCAGGTTATTTTTCCCTTGAAGTAAGTGCAGTTTTATGTATACTAGGCTGCGCCAATCTATTTCTAAACATTTTCTCTTTTTATACATAATAAAACAATTAAAAAAAAGTTCACAGATTTTAACAAAAAATTTTGTAGATTTTTAAAATTTCATGAAAACCGAACTGGAAAACTTATAAAATTATTATCATCCATTAACCTTTTAGAGATAGTTTAGTTTCCAGTCAAAGCTGGGTTACCAAGCTTGTTTATTATATTCTGTCAGTACATTATTAATACATTTTACAGCCTTTTGACCAACATTACCGACCTATGATTCCCCCAACAGAGGGAGGTTAAGTTACTTAACGTCCCTTGGGACAGTTATGTAAAATAACCACCCGCTCAGCAAAGTTTTCAGGAAGATATTCCCTCATTTTCATCTCTAAAGCCAGCCGATAAAATTGTGTACAACTACTTTTTCGGGGAATTAAAAATTTTCCTCGACAAATATGTCTACAAAATATCCCTGGCTGCGCTCTGGATGTTTTGTAGGCCAAATTGGTCGAGGAAACCCTTGGTAAAGTAAAATTCCCCCTAATTCCGTGTAAAGTAGTTGAAAATAATTATTCCTATAAAGCTATATATATATATATAAAGCTAAATCTTTTTCTCAGACCTTTTGTTGTAAACCTTACAAAAACATTAATATACAGATAATACTACTACATTGTTTTTTGAAAACAATACCCCATCAAATACTGTAAAAGGTTGAAATAATGAATAGGGTTAAAGGGACTGTAAACATATTTTCACGATGGGACTAAGTAACCTTTTTAAACAAATCTAAATGTTAATCAATCCATTTCTTGCAATTTAATCTGTGAACACTCCCTTTAATTTCCCAGTCTATCTGTAATCTGTCAACACTCCCTTTAATTTCCTAGTCTATCTGTAATCTGGAAACACTCCCTTTAATTTCCTAGTCTATCTGCAATCTGGAAACACTCTTTAATTTCCTAGTCTCTGCAATCTGGATACACTCTCTTTAATTTCCTAGTCTATCTGCAATCTGGATACACTCTCTTTAATTTCCTAGTCTATCTGCAATCTGGATACACTCTCTTTAATTTCCTGGTCTATATGTAATCTGGATACACTCCCTTTAATTTCCTAGTCTATCTGCAATCTGGAAACACTCTCTTTAATTTCCTAGTCTTTCTGCAATCTGGATACACTCTCTTTAATTTCCTAGTCTATCTGCAATCTGGATACACTCTCTTTAATTTCCTGGTCTATATGTAATCTGGATACACTCCCTTTAATTTCCTAGTCTATCTGCAATCTGGAAACACTCTCTTTAATTTCCTAGTCTTTCTGCAATCTGGATACACTCTCTTTAATTTCCTGATCTATATGTAATCTGGATACACTCCCTTTAATTTCCTAGTCTATCTGCAATCTGGAAACAATCTCTTTAATTTCCTAGTCTATCTGTAATCTGGAAACACATTGCAGAATCTCTAATGTCCAGTGTTAAACTATGTTTTTATGAACCATTAATCTCCGATTTATGTGATAGGTTAAATCTTTAAATCCAATTTAAGATGATTAAATGGTTTACAACCAAACATATACCCTTTCTTAACCCTCTCAATCTATTTTTATTTATTTTTTTATTTAAAGCAAATAGGCTGAGAGAGTCGCTTATCTTTTCTTAAATTTTTCGATTTTTGTAATCCTTGATCTTTATTGTTGTAAATAATATGAATACACATCTAGATTGTATAAGTATTACCCAGTACTTGCTTCATGTGGTTGCCCAGGCCCATTATTTTCTTCGTGTGGTTGCCCGGGCCCGTTTTTTCACTTTTTCTGATTACACTGCCCATTTTAACTTTGTGCGGTTGCCTAGGCCCATTTTTTACTTTCTTTGTTAGCTCTGGTCCATTATTTACTTTGTGTGGTTGCTCTGGTACATTTTTCACTTAAGTGGTTGCAAAGGTCCACTTTTCACTGTGTATGGTTGCCCAGGCCCATTCTATACTTTGTGTGGCTGACTTTTTATGGTGGCTCTGGTATTTTGTTCACTTCGTTTGGTTGCCAAGGCCCATTTTTCTCTTTGTGTGGTTGCCCAAGCCCGTCATTTTCTTTGTGTGATTGTCCACTAGCCAGGCCAATTTTTCACTTTTTGTGGTTGCCCTTTTCCATTTTTCACTTTGTGTGGTTGCCCTGGTCCATTATTCACTTTGTGTGGTTGCCAAGGCTCATTTTTCGCTTTGTTTGGTTGGCCAGGCCCATTTTTCACTTTGTGTGGTTGCCCACTGCCCATGCTTATTTAAAATATTTTTTTAGTTGCCCAGGCCCATTATTCACCTTGTGTGATTTACTGCCCAGGCCCATTTTTTAATTTTTGTGTTTGCTCTGCTATTTTTTCACTTTCTTTGGTTGCCCAGGCCCATTATTCGCTTTGTGTGATTGCCTAGGCCCATTTTTTCACTTTGTGTGGTTCTTTAGGTTCATTTGAAATATTTTTTTATTTGACCAGGCCCATTTTTCAATTTCCTGGTTGCTAAGGCTCATTTTTAATTTTATTTAGTTGCTCAGACCCATTTTTTACTTTCGTCGTCCGGGCCCATGTTTTGCTGTGGATGGTAGCCCGTGCCTTTTATTCATTAGTTGGTGCAGTTCACTGTGCCTCACAGTCTTTGTTATTCGTTGAAGACTTCCTCCTGTTCTCAGATTTAACTAATATAACTGTTTAGACCCAGGGAGTGCTGGGAGGTAGACCAAATCACGCCTTATACATTCTCGGGTTCGTTGAGGACCAAGTAATTTATCTAGGTAGGTATTACCTATATATTTATATACAAGGTTCCTCTCATAGAGATTTTAAGTCTTTTCCTGTTTTATCAAAGGGACAGTACCTTAATTTCAAATAACCCTTTCTTTAAACATTTATCAGGTCAGTAATAGCTTCTAGCTTAAAATTGTTTGATTTCTGACTGACTAGATTTCTTCATTTTTTTCTCTGTAGCAAAAATGAGCAATAATTTTCAAAGTTAAAGAAATCTTGTTCATTCTTGTTCATAGTAAGGTTTTAAGGGAACCTTGTGTATTCGAGAGAGTCTTGAAAGACGTTTACAGTCCCGTAAATATCTGTCAGTTTTGACAAAATAATCTAATTTCTTATAGTTCAACAAAATTTGTATTTGCAAATTTTTTACTGCAACTGACCAGGGAATTTTACAAATAATTAATTTCATTTAAAATTCGGTGATGGTGGTGGACCAAACCTCTGTAGAATAAAAAATTAGATGTTAGATTAAAATATATTTCGATCTGGGTTGACCCTCGTCAGTTCATGAGATTGATTCTGTTTTTTTTTTTTTTTTAACTCATTTTTCAATTTACACAACCATTGAAACTGTAGAATGAACGTAGGACAACCCTAAAAGTTTAATTTGATTTTTGACAGATCAATTTTTGAAAGTTTCAATTGTTAAGAGCGTTTTTTAGAATTGAAAAAGCATGTGTATTGTGTAAGCCTTTTTTTATTTATTTGTTTTTATAGGGGAAAAAACATTCCCCTTGGTAAAAGAATGTTTCCAATTTCACCCGGCAATATAAATATTGCCGGGTGTTTTAAATTCCATAATTAACATGATGAAAAATAATGAGTTCACCGTTGAAGTCTTATTATATTTCAGAGAGTTAAATTTTCCAGAAATAAATAAAAGTTGGTACAATTTTTCCCCCCAATTTTTAGAAGATATTTTTGAAAAAATGTTTTTAACTAGTTCAAAACACAGGACAAATTCATTAAAAATCATTGACAATTTAAAACTCCTTTTTTAGAAGACCGAAGAGCTATTAAGAAGAACAAAAATGTTTAAAATATTTATTCAAATATATTTGCTTTTCTCATACTTAGTTCTACATTTTTACTTTCCTGCATAAAAAAATCAATAAATTATATATATTATCAGTCATGTATTTTTAGATCCACATGTGACACAGCCAAATGTTGAAATGGACTCTTGGCTGCATTTAAAACCTTTCCTTGTAAACTCTGAAAACGATCTTAAAATGGAATGTGATTCGAGTGAGGCAACGCGGCCAGAAAATCCGCCAAGTGAAATATCTGAAAATGCGGGAAAAGAGCGTGAGTTGACCGTAACGGATGAGAGTGCTGGACAGAGAACCTTCGAGATATCTGAAGAGAGTGAGCTGGTAAACCTGCTAGAACTAGTTGAACGTCAGGATCGAAGCTTTCATGTTTATAGACCTGGCAGGATAGATATTAATCAATTAGGCACAGACATTTTTATATTCGATACACCGATTACAATATAAACAGTTGAATTCCAGTGTTATCTATATAAACTAGGGTTTTAGGGTGCTTCGAAAATCGAAAGAACCTCCACTATATTTGAAATTCAAAAGTGAGATCAATTAAACAAAACAAGCAAATTGTATGAAGTAGGAATGTAACTGTTAACTATAACTTAAGTAATAATACTTCTGTTTTATGTTCAGCTTTTTCAAGGATATTTTGTGAACAGTTTGTTTAATTTTCGTCATCTTTTCAACTACTTGGAATTAGATAGTTCAATGATAAATGAATGTGTTATTAAAGATCCGAGCCTTACTCTTGCTTTTTTCTGCAAAACTGAACAGGATTTTGACAACTTGTGCATAGGTTAGTTGATTTATACTTTAATGAACATAATGGTCCTTCTGTAATTGAATGTCATGCGTTATTCACAGTGGTATCCTTTAAACCTTAATCTGATTACTGGATCAGCCATGTCGGTTTTTCAGTAGAAAAATGTTAAAATATCTTTCTTTCTTGCACAGTACACCAGATAAACTAGTATATCTCATTTATTTTCAATCAGAATAGGATTTAACGGTTACCATTGTGAATCAGACATGCCACTCTATAAATGAAGGGTCTCATCATCACATGACATTACGTCTATCTGTGAGGGTGAGGGTCTTTATTTTCTTGAATCCAACTTTTATACACTTTTTTGATCGCTAGAAACCTTTTAAATAATTGTATTCCCGATCTGGGAGGTCCAATTTTGAAGTCTCTTGTAGATTCCATTTCCTTTATGTTCCTTATCACACTGCAGCTACAATATCAGCTGTCTGTGTTCAGGATTTACCATTGGATTATATATGAAATGTGGGATAGAAATTGTTCTTCTAAAAAGTATGTACTTCCATAATATTTGTCAAAATCAGAAAAAGCTTTTTTGGGGATACTGCAACTGCTATGCCACCCTATGAATAGTAGGTCACTTCAAATAACTGTTCAGTTCCTTTTTAAAAGGAATATTAAAAGAAATTTTTATATTTTAAGAGTTTCAAGAGAAGATGATATCTGTGGAGAAATCTCCTTTGTTTGAAATGATGTCAGGTAATTAACACTAATTATACAGATGGAACAAGAGTAGTAATCTTAGTTAAAGGTGATTGTCCTGGCTGCGGCGCTTGGCCCCCTAGCCGTGGCGCTCGGTCCCCTAGCCTGTCCTAGCCGCAGCTCTCGGNGTCTCTTTCTTATAGATGATAAAAATGCAAAACCACTACTAACGTTCCCCTAGCCTGTCCTAGCCGCAGCTCTCGGCCCAGAAAGTGTCTTAACCCAATCTAGCCCTAAAATAATACAAATTTCATGTATATTTTTTATAAGGGGGGGGGGGATGGGGTCCAAAAATATTTAATTAGATATACTCATTAAAATTTAATTTTTTTATACTTATTGTCATGACTTATTTTTAGCTTGAGAATTGTAGACATTGAGATCAATGCTTGATCTCCTCTTTTTGGTAATCCTAAGATTATTTCAATTTTTAGTTATACCTAGGAACATATCTAAATGCAACCAATTAGAGTGTCGATTGTAGAAACCAAACAGCCAATTAGAAGCCGGGAAATTTTAATTTTGAGCGCCATTTAATGAGAAAACTCTCCTCGGTCAGAATCTGGTAGGGATTTCCAAATGGAGGGGAAAAAAGTGGATTACGTAGAAATCAAAANTCCTAGACATGCACTCCCCCCCCCTAGGCCCCTCCCCCTATTACCAGAGGCAGGCTCTAATTTATTAAACAGTAAACTTACACATATATTCAGATTTTTTTACTTTTCTTATCAATCGACAATGTCACAATTTGTCCATTTTATGATTATTTCTCAAATTAAAATTATATTTTAAACTTTATTTTTTTCTTAATACCGGTTTTTTAGGGGGGTGCACATCAACCGTTATGGGGGTGCGCCAATGCATTTTTTGGAATGTATTATTTTAACAATAAATTTTAGGCGCACCCCCCCAGGCTAAACCTCCACTACGCCCCTGTATATAGTGGATTAAGCAATTGGTATTAAGGGTATCCAATCCTAAGGTTTTCAGCTCGGTCTGCATTGTATTTGAATCTCACTCTTTCATTTCTACTTTCTCTGGCACAGCAAACCAACTCATTCTGCTTAGAAATCATTTTGGTCCTAAGTTAAACAAACTAAACTGAATTTTTAAATTGGCATTTGCGATTCATGATGTTCTATGATGATCAGGAATGAACGAAATATTCATACTTTTGTTCGTGAAAATTGATTATTAAATAATGTTTTTTTTTCAAAGAAGTGTTATGCGGATTTCTGTTGCAGTATTAATGGAGGAAACTAAGAGAATTAAATACTTTTAAATACTGTTGTGAATTTCGTTGTGAATCCTGTTTGCCTCTCTCCTTTAAATGAACAATCACATGAAACATAGGTGTCATATAGCTGTAATTTAAACCCCCTCCTGTTGATCTCAATGTTCTTTTCAATCTCATTTTTTAGGAAATTAAACCTCCCACCATTGTGAATATTCAGTGTACCCGGCAAATTGGACTGGGAAAAGTTTTTAGTTCAAAATCCTGATTAAAAAATCCCTTTTCTTTTATTTTTTTTCTGCGATGTCAAAGTTGGTTGAAAATGAATTATAATCTTGTCTATGAAGAAGATATATAATTAAATATTAAGTTTGTGATCTCCTGACTCCAGCAGACCTGTCAATGTCAACCTTGCAACTACCTTGTTAGGGGAACAGTCACGATTTTAATCCCCCCCNAACCCGAGGGCGCAGCCCAAGGGTTTATAATTGAATCCCGACTCTTGAATCTTGTTGAATACGGGGCTATTCTTATTTAGTAGTTTTATTTTCGATGGTTTGGGGGGAATAATAAATTAGACATCAAACTGCATGGGAATTCCCCCCCCCCCTGCACACACACTTTGATACTTTTTACCCAATTGTGCATTCCGCACCTGGCTCCTTAAAATGACGTATTATCACTAATTTAGCGGAAAAAAAACTTAGAATATTTTACATAAACAAACCCAAAATCTGAAGAGGTATGGGGACGAGCGGTGTTTTTTGTTGGTTTGGAATGATTTTTTAAGTTTTCACCCAATTTGCAAAAAAAATCTTTAAATATTCTTAACACTATGAGTGAAACAATTATAGAAGTTAGTAAAGATTGATAGTAAAATTCTGTATAGAACTTTAGTTAAAAAAATTACCATCAATCTGGTTTTTTTGATTTTTTGTCCTTCACTGAAATGTTTTAACGGCTAAACTGAATAAGTCCCGGTTTATTTGGTTTGTAATATGACCATATAAATGCTGGTTACAAAATTCTGCACTTTGACCTTCTTTAATAAAAACCATGAAGAAAAAAAAATGAAAAAAGAGAAGACAGTTTCTAAACTAACTAATGGAAGAAATGGAANCTCTCCTTAAATTTCTCTTTTCTTAATCGAGTACTAAAATCAATAAATCCATTTTTGAAAATTAACTTCATTTGTCAAAAGGTCTTATCAATTTAAAAAGTATGCTATTAAAGGGATTGAAAGCGTAATTTCATGTGACCCTCCATGCAAAGATGGCAATGCTCAATTTACAACGGTACCTATGAAACCTTAATCTGATCAAAATCTGCAAGATATCGTCGTTTTTCTGATTTAAAAAGTGTTAATTTATGTGAGATTTTCTTTTGTATCATTTAAGTAAGAAATGCGCAAGTCACTTTTGCAGAGAAATTGCAAATGAAAATGAACAGTTTAAAGCAACTATAACATTAATATCTTAAATCATTCTTGATCAGACAACCCTATCAAGGGTACCGTTGTAAATTGGGCATTACTCTCTTTGAATTACGCTTACCGTCCCTTTAAGATGTTTTTTTTTTTTTTAGAACGTCCATCTGAAATGTACCCACAATTGCAACCTTCACGTGATATATCAATACAGGTAACTAAACTGCTTAACACCGGACAGGACAAAATTTTGAAAGGACAGACATCTCAAAGGGACAAACTCATATACAAAGTCTTCAGAGGGACTAACTCGTAATAGTTCAAAGGAATCTTGACTCCTTTATGGGGAATACCTCTGAAAGGAGCCAATTCCTTAACAGACAGTGCAGCGTCTCTTCCTCCTGTGCTTGATTTTTTTTACTAGCTGAAGTGTGCCTGTTGAATTTTGTAAAAAAAAAAATTCTAACAATCAATTTTTTTAAGAAAAAAGTATGTTACCCAAGGGTATACTTGCTCTAATCTTCAGTGAGATCTGTTCTCGACTGCAGAATATTCCAGTATTTTTTCTGTTTGCGTATTTTCTGGAAATAGTTGGCGGATATGTGTTGTTTAAATTTTTTTAGACTACCAATTTATCGGAAGGTTTTTATCTCGGTGTCGGCATTTGTTGAAAATTTCTGTTTTTTGTCCGAAGAGAAAAGCTGAGAAAAGCTGGCAGGATCTAGTTTCCTTCTTATATGTTGGTGCCAATGCTCTGATACTCCAGGTAATTGTGAAAGGTTTATTCTGCTCCGTCAGCTTCCAGATATATGTGGAGAGAGATGTACTATGTACCAGTTCTTGGTGGTTAAAGGAGGATTTATGGTTATACTATGTACCTGTCCTTGATGGTTAAAGGAGGATTTATGGTTGTACTATGTACCTGTCCTTGATGGTTAAAGGAGGATTTATGGTTATACTATGTACCTGTCCTTGATGGTTAAAGGAGGATTTATGGTTATACTATGTACCTGTCCTTGATGTTTAAAGGAGGATTTATGGTTGGTAAATATCGACTTAAAGGAGGTTGAAGCTAAACCAAGACATTGTTTCTCCTCATTTCCTGTTGTTTTAACAGTTGCAGGCCAAAGAATCTGTTAGACATTTCACATCCTATGGGCAAACAGATTCACCACCTCTTCTGTTTGTTCAAAACCATCTTGTTGTGTCCACTGATGATCTTAGCCATATTTGGCATACAGCTTAGCTACTTTTATAGTGTTTCAATTGAAGTAATTATTGAGAGAGGGGCCAGCTGGAAAATGTTTGTCAACCAAGAGCAGAAACTTTATGGTTATAGGGAGGATTGAACCAAATTATTTTTATTCTTCTCATATATATATTTATATACAAATTTATGTATATAAGCCTTCTATTTATATATATGTATATTAATATACATATATATTTATATTCAAATGTATGTATTTGAACCAAGAGCTTTATTATTGAGAGTTAAAACCAACTAATAATAGTGCTTTATTAGAGAAATATGCAAAAAGAAATATCTAAATACATTTCATGTATGAGTATTTATTACTACGCCATCATTTTTTAGAGTAACGTTTCAAGATTATGTTATGCTAACCCCCCGATGGCGGTCTGGGCTATCCAATGAGGGGGGTTTTCAGATCCTTTCATTATCTTATGTTATAGTGCAAGTCAAGTGTAGGTTTACATTTAAGTTGTCTAGATAAGTTTCACAGCACATAAAGTTCAGTTCATGTTTCTTTGAAGATAGTATTAGCAGAAGGGATTGCCTTTTTTTAGACCCTATTTTTGTTTGTTTTTACCCGTTACTTTTTTGAATCTTATGGAACATTTCTTAGTTCAATACACAATTCTTGTCCTGTCAAAATTTGGTTTAAAAATGGTGGAATTCAATTTAAAACTTTTCTTGGTTGAACTGTCAACTATTTCCAGAACAAATTTAATCAGGATAGAAAATAAAAACAGTTGGTTTATTCCCTTTGAAAGATTGAATGTAAAAGAAAAATCGGATGATGCAGTAAACATTCTTTGTTGTTGTCAAGGTTATAATGCAAGGAAAGTTATTTCAGATTAAAAAATCTATGAAATATTCTGGTCAAGGAAACTATTATGTGAAATATCAAAATTATCAAAATTTAATGCTTTTAACCTCTTCGGATTCTAAACGAACACTGTTGCATCTATTCTTATTTACAAATTCCACATGTACGCAGAGTATACGCAACTGTAATTAATTTTCTTGGCTTTATAACCTTGGTTGTTGTGATCTTCTAAAGAGGTAATACTTCAAAGAAAACGAGAATCTTTTTATATTTATACAAGCCTGAAGAGTTAATGGTTAGAGTTAATGTTATTAAACCCTCAATGTTTCAATCTACCGGACTTTCCTATACTTTTTAGTAAAGGATATACAAGGTTTGATAGACTTAGCCGTATAATTACCCAGAATCAATTCTGCGCCTATACATTTTTCGAAATGTGTAATCTACAAACATCTATTTGTATATATGGCTTGTTTTTTTGTTTATTTATTTATGTCCAAAAAAGCCAACACTACTAAATGGCACAAACTTTTAGTTGTAACCAAGGTTGTTTAGTGATTTTTTAAGGGCCCAATGAACACGGGAACAATAACCCCACTCAAATTTCTAGCTAAGTTAAAAACATTCCCATGATAATACCAAGTTTTACTAATAAAACTGGAGGCATTACGTTCAAGGGTTTATGAGTCATTGTCAGACAAACAAAAAGAGCTAATGGACGTGACGTTGGCATGGAAACCAACAACCTAAACCTAGTTTTAACACCAGAAAAAGAAAGGTTCATGGTACTGGTTGCAATTATGAAATTGACTTGGACTTACGAGTTTTCAGTTCCTGGACATTTCTTCATTCAAAATGTTTTTCTTCATAGATTNGGGGGGGGGGGGACAATGTTTGCGCCCCCACCTTGGCAATATTGTGCCCCGCCCATAAAAAAACCTTTTTTGAAAAAATATTGATAACTTTTTTAACTATGTAAACTAAACGATCAAATACACACTTCCATACCACAAGTGTTAATAAATTATTTATGTAATTTTCTTAAGTGGACTGATCAGACACTTCTTCTTAATACTGTGGTGTAAGCTTCAATGAAATATTTACACTGAAGGCAGTAATGATTAAAGCTTTTTAAATGAAACTTTTTAGTCACGGGGAAAAGTGCGATTATAAAGTATTTTTATATGGGTGCCCCCCCCCCCTCCGGGGGGGGCCCTGTACACTGTCATTTGGGACAGAAAGTAAAATAACATCCTTCTCTCTCTAAAGATAAGCTTGTGTACAAATAAAGGAAAAAAACAGATTTGGTTTTTATTTTGAGTAACAAAATCTCAGGATTAAATAAATTCTTATTATTCTGAAAGTTAAATCCTTTCGTGAGTTTCATAATTATGCTTCTCTAAGTTTTCCATGTTAAAAGTTTTCAAAAGTTTTCTAGGATGTAATGTATGTTTTTGCTGAAAAATTTAAATTTTGCGCACAAAACTTTTTATATCTTCTCTAAAAAATACCTAAACTTGTAATGGATTTTTTCCCAGGGGCATTTTACTCCTTCATTCAATCCCAAGTGAAGGTTTAGTAGACCCCAGTCACAGAGCCACACAGCCAAAGGGGGGTGGGGGCAGCTGCACCCTCGTTCCCTCCACACAGATACTGATGATATTTTAAGAATTTGTGATGTTTCAAAATATATTTTTACATACTTTTTTCAAAAAGTAGAAAATTCTTATTGGTGAAATATTACAAACAACTTCAGGCTCTTATTTAAAAATTGTACACTGTAAAAATTTCTTATTGGTATTAATTAATTAGAGAGTTTTTCTTTACAATACTGCACTTTCAGCTCAACAACCATGTTTAGCCGGTCTTTCCCTTCAAGTGAACTTTTAAGTTATAGGAAAATTTAATTTTTCAACTCAAGTTTGCATGTGAAAAAATTTCTAATTGTTATTTTATCAGTAAAATGCTAACTTTTCCCATTATAGCTCTTGATTCCAATTTTTAAATTGTTTTGTAATGACAACATTATGTATCATTTACTCTCGAGACAAATTAAAATCAATGGAAATTTAAACCCCAAAAGGATTCAATGATAAACCCGAGGGCGCAGCCCAAGGGTTTATAATTGAATCCAGAATCTTGAATCTTGTTGAATACGGGGCTATGGAACTGAGCTGAAGGGTATCCCACCTGATTATCGGGTAGTTTTTAAGAAAAAAGTTATAACTCCCCACACGTTTTTACAGATTTAAATCGACTTGTAGTAAAGATTGGATATGTCTTACCCTATTCTTACTACGCATACCTAACATATTTTAAGATCTGTAACAATTTTAGGTTAGAAATCCCTTGGATCAATTTCCTCAAGGCCGGATGAGCGGGTACCTTAAATTCTTATCTTACTAAGTTGTGCAATTATGGGAATAATTACCTAAAAATCTTAATTGAAGTTGGAGGTAAAATGGAATGAGATACATAGATAACATTTAAAGTGCTAAATATTACAATCTGATGCAGAACATTGGAGAATACTGTACTATTTGCGGGTAAAAAAATTTAGTGGAAAATGCAATTTGATATGGGACGCTCTGTTCTATATCTTTATTTTGTTGTATTAGTATTCTGTATCCTACTAGCAGTAGAATTTCCTGTACTAAAACCCTGGGATTCTAATCCCAGGGGTAGATGATGTATATTCTGCATACTAACATAGATCTATCCTATTTATTTATTTATAAAATATAAATGATCCTGAAAATTGCAGAACCCATGAAACAATATGTTTATACCATCAAATATATATAAACTAGAAATTCAAGGCGCTTCGCGCCCTTCTTTCTAGCCTTAGAGGGCGCTTCGCGCCCATCTTCTAAATTAATTGTAAAAATGTTCTCTTTGTGTACATCGTAAAACAAAACAAAAATAATTCGCGGATTTTCACAAAAAATTTCGCGGATTTTCAAAATTTTTAAAAATTTAATGACGATCGAATTTTGATGGAGACAAATATTTGAAATTTTGATTTTTNTACAAACAAACAAACAAACAAACAAACAGACAGACAGACAAGCCAAATTTAGATATAAGTCGGACCATTAATTACAATTAAACCAACAGCCCATGCGAGTTCCTGATATAAGACTTAAAAATAATTTGCAATAAAAAGGTTTCAAACAGTTATCTAAAAGTTCGTTATTCCTTATTTTCTTTGAAATACAATTCTGATTCAAAAACCAATTTTTAAAAAAATCGAAAATTAAATAAGGCCAAATAACGGTGAATCAATACTTATTCATACTTTTTTTGTGTTTTTGGGGAATTTTGTACTTCAACTGATGTAGATTTTAATTTAGATCTTAGCACATTAAATTCTAAAAAAGGTGTATCATGGAATTTAATTTTTTTAAAACGGCTTATCTGTCGTCCGATCAGAATGAATGAACAATAATGACAATGTTTAAATTGCAACTCAAATTTGAGCTGCGGCTCAAATTCTTTAAATTCGACCTTTGATGTCTCACTGAACATGACAGTTAACTCTTGAGAGACAGCTTGAATAGTGAAAACATTTCAATTTTGTAAAAAAAAAAAATGTTCACTTCTGAATGAAATTCGTCATGTCCTCGATAATTTTGAAATAAAAAAACAGACCACATGTTGAAAATACCAGGACTAGGGACATTATGTTAAAAAAATAAATGTTGAAAATTATTTTCTAGATCAAAACCTATCTTAAAAGTTTCAGTTGTCACTTTTCTTAGGACACCCTGTAAGATATTATTATTCTAGGAGTCCTAGTGTATTGTTATTAAATCCTAATCCTACTTTTTACTGTTGCAACTTGAATAAAGAAATATAAAGATATAAAGTAGAAGGCAACCTTGTACAATGTACATTGTGGACAAAGAAACTTCTCATACAGAATGATAAAGTAGTACTGTAACAAAGTTCGACTTAAGAAATGGATGTTGAAAGATGATAAATGTTCACTGATCTTGGGAAAAGGGAGAATTTGAGAGTCTGGAACTCTAGTCTCCAAATGAAGTTGGCATTGTGAAATAATGATATTCTATAGGAACAGATAGAACAAAAACATGAATTTGCATAATTTAAATACGTTTTAGTGGATTTCCGAAGTCAAACATTATTGGAGCAGTTAACTTTTAGACCAAGCTTTGTGGTTGTATGTCTTGGAAAGTTTTAGAATAGCCTAATGATGAGATATTTAAAATTAAATCAAGAAAATTGACCAGATTTTTGTTGAAAATACGTCTTTTTTGATATTAAATTAGATATTTAAATCATAAATTCATTTAGATCAAATAATCTAAAATTTAAATATCAAAGGTTTACACCATTCGATTGTAAAGATAAAGGAATTAGTAAATCTGGGACTGGTATTAAGTGCTCTGATGATTATGCTTAATATATTATACAGTAATACCCATCAAACTGGAATATGAAGACGACATTAACGCAATTGTATTTATTTGATATTATGGCAAAGCTAATACTTTACCTGTAGCATAAAATTTAATTTAGTGATTAAAATGGGTAAACTACACAATTGCTGAATTGCATGTTCATTGGACTATTTAAAATCTTAATATTCTAGTTCATCAGTCGTTATCCTAGTCCACAGTTTTATGGGTGTTACTGTAAAATTATATATTTTTATCTTAATATCTATTTATTTTTTTCAGCCTGACGAGAGTACCGGAAGTGATTATGAACGAATCGACCGGAAGTACGATAGTGAGGAGGAATTTGAAATTATTTGAGAATTTAAATTAGATTCTAACAAAATTTATAATTTTTGCACCACCACCACTTCAAATTGACAATAATTACTTATAAGAATCGGTTTAAAATATTTTAGTGTTAATAGAGAATCTAACAAAATTTATAATTTTCGCATCATAGCAACCCCCCACTCGTCTTCGAATTGACAATAATTACTTATAAGAAGCGGTTTGAAATATTTTAGTGTGACTAGTGTAATTTAAAAATTGCATTCCCCCTTTAACATCCTCCGCCCCTCCGGAAATGATTTTAAACAATCTGGGGTTAAAAAAAAATATACATCAATAAGCAAGTTTTTCGTCCTTTTTTAATCCTTTTAATCCAAAAATTGTATTATAATCCCCTAAGTCATTTTTTGTTCGCCCAATTTAGCGATTAAAACCATTACAAATTTTGTTTGCGCCCTGAGCCAACATACCTAACTTTTTAGGGGGGAAACTAACTTTCAAAGGGGAGGGAAATGATTTTTAAAGAAACTATACACCCCTGCTAAAAGTCTTAGATCCACTGTAACTTAAATATTTTCTCATCCGAATTTATTGTCTCATAAATCAGCCTTTTTTCTTTATCTCTTTATACCTGAAGCTGTAGAAAACGTTAAGTATTACTCTAGGACAGGATTGAATTCAGTGCCCTTTAAGCCTTCCCCCCCCCCCTGAAGATTATGTTGATAGATGAGAAATGCCGTCAAAGAGACAAATTTAAGTGACCCCCTTTTAAAGAGGATTATGTTTGATTTCTACCTTTTACAACCTTTACAACCCTTTACAACCCTTTACAACCCTTTAAAAGCCTTTACAACCCTTTAAGACCATTTACAACCCTTTACAACCCTTTAAAACCATTTACAACCCTTTACAACTCTTAACAACCTTTTACAACCCTTTACAACCTTTTACAACCTTTAAAAATATTTTAAAACCCTTTAAAACCTATTACAACATTTTACAACCTTATCGGAGTAAAAAATAATAATCTTAAGAACTTTCATCTGAAAATTACCAATTATGTTTAGTCGAAGGTTTTAATTGACTGTTGTGAATCTGACATGTAACTCGTCAAATAAAAGATTCTCTTGAAATTACGTTAACAGTCTCTTAAAGGAATTTTATTCAAATATGAATAACCCTCCTTGAAATTTTGGTTTGGAAAATTGTAACTTTATTGTAACATTATGTTTATTTTTGTGCTTTAACATTTTATGTTCTTATATCTCAAAATTGAGATGTCATGAAATTCAATTTATTCTATTTTAAATTTTGTTTTTCTTTAATCTTGTTTAAATGTATGAAAAACAGATTTTTAAATGTTTTAATATTTGTCAAAATCTTCCAGAATATTCCATTTTGTATTTGATATAATTCGCAAACTTGTATTCTTAATTTAATTAAAACTCTGGAAGCAAGTTTAATACACAGATCACTGAGATTGTACAGAAAATGTTGTTTCTAATCGATAAATATATTGTATTTTTTGTCATTCCTACCATGTGCGCTGGATATGAACCTCAATCGATGATGGGTTACTAAGAAAAATTAGTATTTTTAGGGATAAATTATAAACGATGTTCTATCTCTGCAGTCTGTAGATTTAATGTATTTAATGTAACTTATTTTATTTTGTGTAGTGTGTCTGCAGTACAAATGTAATGAAATCATGTCAAAATAACTTGTAAAAGATTTTCTATTTTCATTTAATCTGTAGATATTCCTTATACATATTTGCAGAAGACAAGATGAATATCAGATGTGCAAAAACCGAGGATTTGATAAATATGCAACATTGTAATCTTCTCTGCTTACCAGAGAACTATCAGGTATATTCGTTGTTCAGTGTATGTACCCTGTGTCCGAATTTAATGAATTTAAGCCACGTCTAAAATCCCCCAAAAACCGGTTTCAATTGAGCGCCGGCTTAAATCTTGAAAAATTTAATACAAATTTAAGTTAAACCAACAAAATTTGAGCCGCGGCTTAAATTCAAACCGTTTCTTAAATTCTTTTAATTCGGCCTTGGTGCAATTTATGTACAATCATTGCCCCAGGTTGTGATGAACCACAATTATTAAAGTCAGTTTGAATTTTCGAACACTAATAAAATTGGCTTATGTTAAAACGTGCATCTGTCCGCAGTAGGCGGAAATCTAACTGATATACGAGAGCTTAAGATCAACTCCAATGGTCCATACCTCGGTTCTCAAGGACGTCAGAAACTTTTACGAATTTGATATTGATACGCAGAAAGTTTTATCTTTTCATAGATATATCAAAGACAAGATTTTTAAGGGTAGCATCAAAAATCGGGCATTGCCATCTTTACAATTCACCCTGCAAGAGAAGTGGAAACTCCGGAAATTTGCACTGGTTTATCACAGACGAGATTCATATTATCACTTTATCTTTTAAATTGTAGTATACATATATTTAACCGAAAAATTATGAAGTAAAATCAGACTTTGCCTGACTGTACACCCTGTACAACTGAACTCTTATGTAAATATTTCATTATCGGTCCTATGTTGAAAATCTGCACTTGAGATATATTTTCTAGTAATCTAATATGGTGTTTTGTAACTTGAACTAACGTCGTCGGAACTCTTGATATTTTCACTTATGTTCATATTGTTTTTTTTGGTTAGGCTTAGCTTTCCAGTTTTTTTTAACAATATTATGTATATTTGTTTGCCTTTATTTTGTTATGTCATAATGTTATACAAATTAAGTAATCCAAATGAATTCCTTTCTACTATTAGCTAATGTGAGATAACATTTACTCAAATTACTACATTTGAGAGCAAACCTGTGGGAAACATTAACAGTTGTCAAAATATTCAATAGCAATAGTAGGTCGGACATTTATTTTATAACACAACTTAAAGTAGCTTATAGTCGTGCTTAAAACAGTGCTGATTAGGGTTTGGTGAATGTACATGGTTAGTCACTTATGCTTACAGTCCCTTCAAATATATTACAATTGAAACTCATGTCGTGGATTTTTATCAAGTGTTCTCACAGATTTCCTAAGCTGTTTAAATTTAAACTTCTGAACCCAAACTATTAAATCCTAATTTAGATGAAGTACTACATGTACCATGGACTAAGCTGGCCCCAGCTCTCCTATGTAGCAGAAGATGAGAAAGGAAAAATTGTTGGATATGTTCTTGCAAAGGTAAGCTGCAAAGGTTTAGACAAAATGTTCTTGCAAAGGTAATCAGCAAAGGTTTAGACAAAATGTTTTTGCAAAGGTTTAGACGAAATGTTCTTGCAAAGGTAAGCTGCATAGGTTTAGACAAAATGTTCTTGCAAAGGTAATCAGCAAAGGTTTAGACAAAATGTTCTTGCAAAGGTAATCTGCAAAGGTTTAGACGATATGTTCTTGCAAAGGTAATCTGCAAAGGTTTAGACGATATGTTCTTGCAAAGGTAAGCTGCAAAGGTTTAGACAAAATGTTCTTGCAAAGGTAATCTGCAAAGGTTTAGACGAAATATTCTTGCAAAGGTAAGCTGCAAAGGTCTAGACGATATGTTCTTGCAAAGGTAAGCTGCAAAGGTTTAGACGATATGTTCTTGCAAAGGTAATCTGCAAAGGTTTAGACAAAATGTTCTTGCAAAGGTAATCAGCAAAGGTTTAGAGGAAATGTTCTTGCAAAGGTAATCTGCAAAGGTTTAGAGGAAATGTTCTTGCAAAGGTAAACTGCAAAGGTTTAGACGATATGTTCTTGCAAAGGTAATGTGCAAAGGTTTAGAGGAAATGTTCTTACAAAGGTAATCTGCAAAGGTTTAGACGATATGTTCTTGCAAAGGTAATCTGCAAAGGTTTAGAGGAAATGTTCTTGCAAAGGTAAACTGCAAAGGTTTAGACGATATGTTCTTGCAAAGGTAAACTGCAAAGGTTTAGAGGAAATGTTCTTACAAAGGTAATCTGCAAAGGTTTAGACGATATGTTCTTGCAAGGGTAATCTGCAAAGGTTTAGAGGAAATGTTCTTGCAAAGGTAAACTGCAAAGGTTTAGACGAAATGTTCTTGCAAAGCTAATCTGCAAAGGTTTAGAGGAAATTTTCTTGCAAAGGTAAACTGCAAAGGTTTAGACGATATGTTCTTGCAAAGGTAATCTGCAAAGGTTTAGAGGAAATGTTCTTGCAAAGGTAAACTGCAAAGGTTTAGACAAAATGTTCTTGCAAAGGTAATCTGCAAAGGTTTAGAGGAAATGTTCTTGCAAAGGTAAACTGCAAAGGTTTAGACGAAATGTTCTTGCAAAGGTAAACTGCAAAGGTTTAGACAAAATGTTCTTGCAAAGGTAAACTGCAAAGGTTTAGACGAAATGTTCTTGCAAAGGTAAACTGCAAAGGTTTAGAGGAAATGTTCTTGCAAAGGTAAACTGCAAAGGTTTAGACGATATGTTCTTGTAAAGGTAAACTGCAAAGGTTTAGACAAAATGTTCTTGCAAAGGTAAACTGCAAAGGTTTAGACGATATGTTCTTGCAAAGGTAAACTGCAAAGGTTTAGACAAAATGTTCTTGCAAAGGTTTAGACAAAATGTTCTTGCAAAGGTAAGCTGCAAAGGTTTAGAAAAAATGTTCTTGCAAAGTTAATCTGCAAAGGTTTAGACAAAATGTTCTTGCAAAGGTAAGCTGCAAAGGTTTAGACAAAATGTTCTTGCAAAGGTAATCTGCAAAGGTTTAGACAAAATGTTCTTGCAAAGGTAAGCTGCAAAGGTTTAGACAAAATTTTCTTGCAAAGGTAATCTGCAAAGGTTTAGACGAAATGTTCTTGCAAAGGTAAGCTGCAAAGGTTTAGACAAAATGTTCTTGCAAAGGTAAACTGCAAAGGTTTAGACGAAATGTTCTTGCAAAGGTAAGCTGCAAAGGTCTAGACGATATGTTCTTGCAAAGGTAAGCTGCAAAGGTTTAGACGAAATGTTCTTGCAAAGGTAATCTGCAAAGGTTTAGACAAAATGTTCTTGCAAAGGTTTAGACGAAATGTTCTTGCAAAGGTTATCTGCAAAGGTTTAGACGAAATGTTCTTGCAAAGGTAATCTGCAAAGGTTTAGACGAAATGTTCTTGCAAAGGTAATCTGCAAAGAATTAGACCATACTCTTCATGGTGTGTACTGTGTATGGTCCCGAAAATATCTACACTAGGAATTATATATTTGTTGTGCAGAAGAATTTGAAACTGTAAATTATTTGTATAAAATTAATAATTTGCACCTGGTTGTTAAAATAGTCAAATACTTGTAGCAGGTGACGTAAAGTCATAATATCTTAGATATTTCTAGGAATTTCTCGAATAATATTGTTTTTTGTCCTCTTTGTAAACACAAATAATTTTAACTAGCTTGGGACCCCAGCGTTGCTCAGGTTACTCATGTTACTCCCGCCGTTTACCCGCAATTGGTCGTAAATTACGATTAGAATCTCTCTAAGCCAAGCTTAGAACAATCATGTGTCAAAGGGTTCATGAGTTATGATCGGACTAAAAGACAGACAGACAAACTTTACATATTGAACTATTGAATATTTCTATAATTATTAAACCACATATTTCTAGAATTATTAAACCAATTATTTCTAGAATTATTAAACCAAATATTTCTAGAATTATTGAACCAAATATTTTTAGAATTATTAAACCAAAATATTTCTAGAATTATTAAACCAACTATTTCTAGAATTATTAAACCAAATATTTCTATAATTATTAACCCAAATGTTTCAAGAACTATTAAACCAAATATTTCTAGAATTATTAAACCTAAATATTTCTAGAATTATTAAACCAAACATTTCAAAAATTATTAAGCCTAATATTTTATAAAACCTAAATATTTCTAGAAACTTTGAACCAAATATTTCTATAATCTTAAAACCAAAATTAGAATAATAAATCAAAGGATATATTGTTAGATGGGGGTTGTTAGTGCCAGAAGAAAAGTTTTTAAAAGTTTAATGGAGCATTAGTTTTTATATGTTATAGCAGGGGTGTAGGTTTTTCTCATATTGTCTTAATATTCATTTGTTTTGAAAAATGCTGTTGCTGAAAATATAATGTTAAACACTGTCTTTTTTCATTTTTGACATTTTATAGAAAAATTTTGAATTTTTTCTCTCTTATTTTACCTTTCTTTATTGCTTAATTATCCCCTTCCTCTCAATTATATTTAAAATGGGGGGTAAGGGGGGGGGTCATTTATTTGAATCCTTTTCCCCATTTTGGAATATTCAAACATCTTTGAAGTTCAGCATACATGCTTGTGATTATGAGAAAAGTTTTATTTTGTATTTTATATTCTGCTAAACCTTTAAACAGAGGGGGATAGGGGGTGGGGGCGGGAGAAGGTTAGATGATGCTTTGTTTCTCAAGATAAAACTGATCCATGGGGAGCATTTATCCACATAGTTTAGACAGTTAACAGAACCCTAATTTTATCCTCTTCTCAGACTCAGAGAGGAATATTCCAGTCAGCTTCTGTAAACCAATGTTGGAATTGGTGTCAGCATTTGAAACCCAACTTGAATAATGTCAATTTTTGGGACAGTTGCGGCTTGAATTTTTATTATGAAGGTGATATTTTTACCCATCTCACTCATAGTGAAGAATCTATTAGGGTTTGGTCCCTGAAAACATGTTAACATGAGGGGTATAATATTAAATATGTCCTTAAAAATCATGTTTCATGTAAGGGTTTCTACTACAAAAACTCTTTTTTTTTGGTCAAAATCTTTTTTCATGTTTCCCTAGTGTCAAAAATTTCTTGTGGAAAGTTGCTTATAAAGTAAGAAAAGAAAGCTTTTTAGATTCAAGATAATTTTTTTGTTTATTTTGGATTTGTGGATGCAGCAGTTCAGTATTTTACATCAACCCATCTTCTTACTCACAAAAATACAGTAGCAGAAAATTATTATTTGGGCATTGGGCGCTGGTTAGAACTATTTAGAACTAGATAAAACTGGATAGAACTAGATAGAACTGGTTAGAACCGGTTAGAACTGGTTAGAACTGGTTAGAACTGGTTAAAACCGGATAGAACTGGGTAGAACTGGGTAGAACTGGGTAGAACTGGGTAGAACTGGGTAGAACTGGGTAGAACTGGGTAGAACTGGGTAGAACTGGGTAGAACTGGATAGAACTGGATAGAACTGGATAGAACTTGTAACAACTGGGTAGAACTGGATAGAACTGGTTAGAACTGAATAGAACTTGTTACAACTGGGTAGAACTGGGTAGGACTAGGTAGGACTGGTTAGAACTGAGTTCACATTTGTGATATTTGATTAAAAGAGATAGTGTAAGATTAGGTTGGTATAAAATGAATTATGTTCAGGTTGGGTTTGTAAAAAATAAATTATTTTCAGGTTAGGTTTGGTATAATATAAGGTATGTTCATGTTGGATTTGGTATAAAATAAACATAGTTTAGGTTGGGTTTGGTATAAAATAAACTAAGTTTAGGTTGTGTTTGGTATAAAAAAACTATTTTCAGGTTGGGTTTTGTATAAAAAAAAAACTATTTTCAGGTTGGGTTTGGTATAAAAAAAAACTATTTTCAGCTTGGGTTTGGTATAAAAAAAAACTATTTTCAGGTTGGGTTTGGTATAAAATATACTATGTTCATGTTCGGTTTGGTATGAAATAAAAATAGTTTAGGTTGGGTTTGGTATAAAATAAACATAGTTTAGGTTGGGTTTGGTATAAAGTATACAATGTCCAGGTTGGGTTTGCTGTCAAATAAACTGTTCTAGTTGGGTTTGGTATAAAATAAAAAAAGTTCTGGTCGGGTTTGGTATATTATAAATTATGTTTAGATTGGGTTTGGTATATTATAAATTATGTTTAGATTGGGTTTGGCACAAAAGTTAATGGACCAAACAGCTGCTGCAATGGTGGAAGCATTTAATGCCAAGGTATAATTTGTGGAAATTTATTTTATTAAACGTTATCTTTGAGAAAAATTTAATTAAATAATTAATTTCAATCTTTACATGAAAAATGTAAAAAGATTAAATTTTAATTTTAACTATGGTAATCTATTTTCTGGTTTAGTATGTATCTCTGCATGTGAGAGTGAGTAATAGAGCAGCATTAAATCTCTATACACAAGCTTTAAAGTTTCAGTAAGTATCATTTTTTATTTATTTACAGGGTGTCCCAATAAACAAAAGAATTTGTTTTCCGATAATTGATAAATGACATAAAGTTCTTAAAAAAAAGATTGAAAGTCTGTAACAAATCTAGACGCGATTACTATACTCAAAGTCTAATAAAGAACACACTTATTTCTATCTCTAGCCAAAACTCAAGGCTCTCTATTCTCAGTCAAACTCTAGGCTCTATATACGTCTGTATAAATCAACGAATACTATTGAACTGAATTTATTTATATACAGGTGAATTTAAACTGACCGTACTGGTCATTAAGGGTCAACATGAAACATGATAAGATAGATAAACGAACATAGATAAATACAGAATTCATTACAAGTCTATTGAGCTTTCCAAAATAAGGTCTACCTTCTTTGTATCTTAAAAATTGACGGATATTTATAACATTAGAACAATTTTATTGAGTTGTAAAAAACTGGAATCTAAACAAATTTTCTAATATCTCCGTCAAATTTGAAGGTAAAAAAATGATTGACCACATTTTGGAAATCCGGAAACTTGTAGTTTACGATTTAAAATGTCTTAACTGTGATACTACAAAGTTATGTACAAAGACAATATAGAATATTGTAAATATTATAAATTGTGAAAATTAATTAATATATGATCAGATTTAATTTTGGTTCAATATTATAATATTGCTAAATTGTTCAATGTATGCATTGTTGTAGAATTGAAATAAATCCAATAAGTCGAAATTCGTAACAGAATTTGATTTATTGGAAGGTTATTTTAGGAATAACACTAAAACAATTTGATGAATTTTTAGGATTTACGAGATTGAGCCTAAATATTACGCAGATGGAGAGGATGCGTACGCAATGAAAAGGGATCTAGTACAGTGGGCTAAACAAGAGGTACGCATTTACGAATATGATAGGTAGTAAGCATAAAAGGACAATTTTTCTTTAAAATCCAAATAAGTTAAAATCGAATTTTATTTCACATGTTTACTTTCAATGAAGAAAAATATATTAATAGCAATCGGAACAATTGTTTCATGACATGGGAGCTTAGTAACATCTCGCCATTTAACATTTCGCCATATAAAAACTCGCTTAAGTAACATTTCGCCATATAACAACTTGTCTAAGTAACATTTCGCCTTATAAAATGTTGACATATAACAACAACTCGCCTATATAACAGCTAGCAAAATAAAAACCAAAAACAAGCTAATAAATTCTATTTATTAGAAAGAAGTAGTTTAGTAGTAGTTTATTAGTAGTTTAGTAGTAGTTTATTAGTAGTTTAGTAGTAGTTTAGTAGTAGTTTAGTAGTAGTTTAGTAGTAGTTTATTAGTAGTTTAGTAGAAAGTTTTGACTTTGCCTACAGGAACGTAGGACAGTCCTAAGAGCATGTAGAATACTTCCTGGAAACTTGGATTCCGGTAAAAAAAAGACTTTGAAGCCCTTTATCACCAAACGTCTTCCAAACTGCAGAGTTAAATGAAACCTGCAGCCCCCTCTGATCAATGTCTGGTAACACCAATACACAGCTCCTAATACAGCCTTTTCAAAGTCAGAAATAAATTTAGAAAGCTTGCTGCAATCTTCTACATGCTCCTTGATGATGGAGAATAACTTCAGATAGGTCACCATTTCCTTGTTGGGAAGGAGAGCATACACACATGGGATACCTGCACTCCCTGCAGACTCAGGTTTTGCCAAGATAATGTAAACCTTGAACAGAAGTATATTCACCTTTTGAGCAAGTTTTAATTCATAACAAAACTATAAAAACCAAAAGTTTGATTTTACCTGTTAAAAGTGGTCTAGTGTTGATTTGAAGGTGCCATCACAGACCCAGACTGGATGGTTGCAAAGAATATCAGCTCTAAAACCACTGAGGCAATCATCATTGACTGCAGGTTTGGTCGTCATCAGTCCAGTCCCTAAATAGTATAAGGTCCCCCCCCCCCCATCTCCTTTTTGGGAGAACTTGTCAGGGACAGCAGTCGACTTGAATTCTGCATGGTCTAATGGAATCTTGGGTCTTGGGTCCAATGTCTGTCTTTTCCTCCATAGAACCATTTTGATGGCCCCAGTACAGGGGTCCAACAGCAGCAGGGGTTGCTCCATGAACTTCAGCATATTTAGATAAAACATCTTTTTCAGTAATTTGGGCCTCCTTTCTTATCTACTTGTCACCATGATTGTGTAATAGCAGGTTTTCTCCTGCAAGGTTCCTTGTTCTCTTTCTTGTTGTCAGATTAGCTCCACGCTTGCATCAAGCACAGCACCAGTACTGGGTTGACGCACTGTAGGAGAAGTTGTTTATGTCAACCAAAGATGGTTTCTCCTGTTGAGTCGTAGATGCCTGCAGTACTACCGACATTGTTGGAATTACTGTATTTGCGGGTTTTTGGTTTTTGATTCAGGGATTTAATTAAAAACAATTATATATAGGCGAGTTGTTGTTATATGGCGAAATGTTACTGCGAAATGTTACTTAGGCGAAATTTTTATGGCTAATTGTCATATGACGAAATGTTATATGGCGAAATGTTATATGGCGAAATGTTATATGGCGAGATGTTACTGAGCCAAAAGCTTAAGAGGACTTATGTTGTCTTTAATGACCTCTGCTAGACATTGTATTTGTGATACAATGGAAATATTTTAATCCTACTTCTAAATTTTAACCAGAAAGGATTAAAGTGTAATCTCGAACTTCTAAGTATAAAACTGCAATGTGGGTTTCAATTTCTAATATCGGTTTAATGCCAAATATAAAATGTTATGCTTACAAAAGTGTCTCACAATCCGGATCCGTTATATCCGCAACATTTTGTCCTCCCGGATCTGGATCCAAGCGGCAAAATAATAACGATAAACAAAAAAACAATTTTAAAATGTCCTAATCTCTGAATGGTTCATCAAGCTTAAGCAAAAAAAAGAAAATACTTTATTTGTTCATCTGTGTCAAAATGAAATGAATGCTTAGCTGTAGAGTTTTAATTTTTTTTAAATAAAATATTTTAGGATATTACTCCCGCCGACGCTGACAGTTTTTTCAAGGGTGTTGTAGCGGCCTGAACACCTTGAAGTATGCAGCTGTCTGCCCTGTTAACTGCATCATTTTTTAAAATATACATTTCTTTCAATTTGTGTCAAATAGAGCTAGATACTGACAGGACATTATATCCAATAAAGATCAAAATGGCTGGTTAAAGGGACTGTAAACGTACTTTGAAGTGAACCTGTATTTCAAGAGCGGTATGTCTGATTCACAATGGTGCCCTTAAAAAAATAAAATATAAGTAAGAAATTATATTTTTTTGGTTGAAATTTCCTAAATGGCTTCTGGGCCAAAAATCTGCAAGTTGATTTCATCAAAGATAAATTCGAAAGAAATCAATTGTCAGACCAAATAACATTTATATATATATATTCATGTATAGATGATTTATATATATATTGATTTAAATGAGTTCAACTTCCCTCAGTCGAAATAATCAGTTTATAACATTTTAAACATTGATATTCAATTTATTCCTGATAAAATAATGTTTCTTGAAACCACACCATTTTTTCGTCCGCACCACAAATGACGTCACAACTCATCATTATTTCTTTTGACCACACCTTTTTTCGTCCGGGCGTTACCTTTGTTTTTTTAAATGTATTTTTATGCCTTAAAATACTTTTTTTTCAAATTTAGGCAACGTCGTGTTATTCAATATCGTTCTCTAGGAAATTATCCCACATTATTGATTAGATAAAGATTTTATGGGTACCGTTGTGAATCGAGCATTGTCATCTTTGCATGGACGGTAACTTGAAATTTCGCGTACAGTCCCTTTAACATGAACAAAAGAAATGAAGTTTTTGAAATGATCCATGAAAGAAGATCATTCGATTTGAGAATCAAAATCGTGGTGTCGTCCTTTATCGGTGTTGGAAGCACTTGTACAGGATTACTCACAAATGATTAGACTGGCTGTAAAGACAACCTGAAACTCTTAAAATAGGATAGTTGAAAGGTTAATTACGTCTTGTCATAAATTTAATGGCTTACTTATGAATCGACAAAAAACGAAACCAGGTTCTCTAAAAACTAAAGTTAAAAAAAAATCCTAAATTTTAGCGTTAATAAGTCCTTGAAATAAAGTCCTACCATTTTGAGACTTACAAAGGATGTTTACTTTAATGGAAAAATATGCACTTGATCTTATCAACACCCCTTGCTAAATTAATGCTTAGAGGAAAAGTTCTTTTTATGTTAAAAAAGTCTCTAATTTTCCCGAGACTTAGGACTTCTTTCTTCGGATAAATTTTCTACAGGAATTTAATTCCTGTGATCTTATTTTCTAAGACGTTATTGGCACTTGGCAGCCTCCATATTTTAGAGAAAAAAGTCCCAGGAATCTTAAACGTTTCTGAAGTTTTTATTTCCAGGGTTTTTTCTGAAACCAGTATGAGTTCCATACAGTCGTCTCTGAAATCTCATGTTTTGTGTATCTCACAAGATTTAATAAAATTGAAAATATGAATTAGAAGGACATTATGCATCCAAGTTGCATAAAAAAACTTGAACTATAAATTTTCAAAATTAAAGTCTCATCCTTTGTGGGTATCCCTGTACTTTTTTTTTATAAAAAATGGACCATTTCCGAGACCAGGAATAGGAAATAGTCAAATATTACATATTTAGAATCATAACTGAAATCTTTATTGCTTTTCTAACTATCATCTAAGAATAATCTTATTTCTAGTTGGAAAACCTGCAAAGTCAGTTTTATTATATGGGATGAGGGGAGAAGGTACATTTTCTTCGAGGGAGTGGGTGCAGTGTTGCCATGAACCACGTTTCGTCAACATCCGAGCCCTTCTTAGCCATCCGGACCTAGCGGATGCTCCCCTATCTTTAAAAAAGATGTCTCCCCAATTAAATTGAAATTAGATTTAAATTTTTAAATTGATCAATTGGTATTTTTAACTTGGATTATTTTATGTATCATAATACACAGTTTGAAATGTCTTAACTATATATACGAAAAGATATAAAGGGAACACAATATCACAGTTTGTGGCGAACGTTTTGGGGATTAAATATCACATTCTCGGTCTCATTCTGAGAAAAAACCCCATCCCCGGCCCTCTCAGGAAATATAGAAATCTGCTGCGACGTTTTATCTGCGCCACGGGTAGGGGCCGTGCGCTGCAGCTATAAAGATATTTTAAAATGTTATTAAATTTCCTCATTTAAGTGGCAAACAGTAATGCAAACATTCAGACAAAAAAATGCTTTAAGAATTCTTTCTTGGAATATTGATTGAATTGCCCGGCGTTGCCCGTGGAATTTATTTATAAAAAATCGAATTTAAAAAAAATATTTGATTAAATAGAAATAGGATTTGAAGAAAACAATCTTATTTTTTTTTAACCCTATGTTACTCCCAGGGTAACTAAGGGTTCCCCCCAAAAAATATCAGCCAATTCGGTCCAGCCATTTGGCCCACTATAACATACAAATACAAAACATACATACAAACAAATATATATGAGCAAAGAGCTTTATTAAATACTAGCTGAAGTGCCCGTAAAAATTAAATATAAAATAAAAAAATCAGATTTCTTTAGCCTATGATACCACTCGAGTCCAGGGTACCCATGGGTTTCCTAAAAAATGGCAGCCAATTCGGTCCAGCCTAACATATCTAATTATATGAGCGAAGAGCTTTATTGTATAGATCTATTTATTAATGGAAATCAAAATGTTTTTCATTTATATTTAAACATATTTACAACTGAACATTAACGGTAAAGGACAAGATTAAACTAAACATTAATGATATATATACAAGATTAGACTATTAACATTAACTATATATAGACAAGATTAGACTGAACATTATCGATATTTTGACAAGATTAGACTAAAAATTAACGATATATAGACAATATTAGACTAAACATTAACGATATATAGACAATATTAGACTAAACATTAACGATATATAGACAATATTAGACTAAACATTAACGATATATAGACAAGATTAGACTGAACATTATCGATATTTTGACAAGATTAGACTAAACATTAACTATATATAGACAATATTAGACTAAACATTAACAATATTTAGACAAGATTAGACTAAACATTAACGATATTTAGACAAGATTAGACTAAATATATAGACAATATTAGACTAAACATTAACGATATTTAGACAAGAATAGACTAAACATTAACGATATATAGGCAATATTAGACTCAGCTATATAAATAAACTTTAACAGTGTAGTGGTTCAGCTAGTTGTACACAGATCAACACCATTAAATAGAATTGATGTGAGAGCTATTGGAGTTTCAGCGTTATCATTCTAAAATAGGAGATCTTTGGGCTCAATATCATTTTGCCTGGTTCATGTCGACCGGGATACCACCAGACAAACTTTGGACTGAATAAATTTACTAAATTTTATCAAAGCAACCTGTTTTTATAACAAAATGTTATCTAGTCAAAATGGTATCCAGGTATTAACTGTGTTTATGCAAAATGTTATCAAGGCGAAATGTTATCTGGGCGAAATGTTACTTATTGGAAAATGTTAACTATAGACTCAGCCGATTTTCTCATTTACAAATATCGATAAATAATTAATTCCATAAAATAGAAATCTATTAAATAAAATATTTTTCAATGGAATGTTTTGCTTGAATGCATTTTTAGTCAAAAGAACTTTGCTATACATTTTTATCGAAAGGAAACTGATTGCTTCCGTTTTCAATGAAAGTTTCATAAATCATACAATTTGTTTAATCGGATTGTTTTTTGCCGAGAGAAAAATAAATAACTAGGTGAATGTAAACATGTTATTGAAGAATATATAGAGCTACCCACAAATCATGAGAATGTAAAGACGACCTGAAACTCTTTGAATATGACGGTTTCAATGTTGAATTAAGTGATCTGTCAAAAGTTCACTATGGCTAAAACGAAATCCAAGAATTCAGCCATTTTTAATTTCTTGACAATCAGAGACGATTTTACTGTCGTTCTTGATTTTCGTGTTACTGGGACACTCTAGAGTACTTTAAATATTTTACCAAGTTTACCTTGCAATCTCCTAGAAGACTATAATCCACCATCAAATAGTTATATTTCAGGATTTTAACTTTTATAAACAAGTTTACAAGAAATGAAGTTTACTTGAATATTGAAAGCATAGATTAATAACAAAACAGATAGAACACTAGATGTCGTCTTTTTAAGATTGAGGGGTTGATCGTTCACAATAACCCTGAGACAGAAGTCCAAAGGAGTTATCTGTGCATGCCACGTTAAGTTACAAGACAGAGAGACAGCGTGTGATTCCTTCTGTATCAGGGTTATTGTGAACGTAAAAACCCCTAAATCTAAGGAAAGTTATTTCAGAGGTGTACGCATCTTTTGTACTGCAGTGTACTGTCACTGGGCGGTAATGTAAACACAAGACGGATGTCTTTCACATAAATAATGAAACATTCTGGTCATAGGAACCTATTATTTGAATTATTAAAATCCAATGCTTTTAACCTCCTCGGATACTGAACGAACACTGATGCATCTATTCTTGTTTACAAATTCCAGAGAGAACTGGTTTCAATGTGTACGCAGAGTATACGTAACTGCAATTGACTTTCCTTGCATTACATTCTTGCCTCCAATGTTCTATCTGTATTGTTATTTATCTATGATTATAAGGAATTTGACATGTTATTTTAATTGAAGGGGGGCCATTCAAGTTCTACAATTTGGAAAACTTAAAAAATTTGTTGGATCGTAACATTTTTAAAAGAAGAAAAAATAATTTGTCTGAAATTTCGAATCTACAATTTAAAAAATATTTTGTTCAAAATTACAAAATATAAAGATATTGTAAAAGTGTATAAAATGTCCGTTCGAATCTGTATTCTTTGTGCAAATTTTCTTAATTTTAAAGTTTGGTTTTTTTCCCCAGTGCAAGCATCGTTTCTTTAACAAAGGTGCAATAGCAATACGGTCCTTTCAAAATTAAATGAAAGATAAAATTAAAATTCAAGAATCACTGTTTAATTTTGTTTAAAATTGCAAAAAAAATTGTCAGAACTGAATATTTAAAAAAAAAACAATGAAAATAGAATTAGAGCTTGGAGTAGAGATTACCGTTCTATCGCCTATTAGCTATTCATTCTTACTTTTCAAAGATATGACCGGAGAACAAGTCGATTTATCGCATAGAATTCCAGCTGAAAGGTATGATACCTTTGCATAAACACTATTTAAACGTTTTTTAGTAAAAACAACCCTATAAAATCTAAAATTATCATATTTCATTAACATCATGTGTCAGCCGTTATATAATAAAATATAAAAACTTTTGATTTTAGAATTAGCAGGAAATTAACGTCTTTCGTATTCAAACATTATTAAACAAATCAACAAGTGTATACAAAGACGACTTTCCCTCTCAGGCAAACCGGTTCCTAGATTTCAACTCTTCAATAAACCAGGGGGATTCCCGGGAAAGTAGGGAAAACGTATCAAACAAGTTAAATTTTGAAAACAGACAATTCAAAATAATTTTGAAAAAATTTAAGATATCTACAATTAACTGTAAGATACTACAATTTGATTTAATATTTGAAAATTTCAAAAATCATGACTAAGACAAAAAGCATCAAATAGTCTAAATGCAAAGGTATCATAACTTTGCGCTGGAATTCTGAATGATAAATCGGCTTTTTCTAAGGCCACGGTTGTTTTCGAAAAGTACGACTAATGCCAATGAATGGCTAATAGGCTATTTAGTTTACCCTCAAATTACCCAAATAAGTGAACGGTCCCTTTAAAGAGACGAACGATGGAAATTTCACGTGTACAGTTTCTTTAACAAATGAGGAATAAAAGTTTTGATGGTTTCCTAAATGCAATGGTGTCTCCAGCTTTTTTCCTTCCAGACCAGGACTCATTGCTAACTTGGAAAACAGACCCTTCAGAGACCTATATAGTTGAACTGTAGGTGGCTACCTAACGTGTTAAAGGGATTGTTCAAGATATTTAGAAATTCACGAAAACTGTTGATATTTCAGTTGGAAAAAATGTAAATATCGCCATATCCTTTTTTCTTTCAAAATCAGTTTGGTAGGTACATTTAAAAATCGCTTATTAGCAACCATCCAACTTTCACTGCCAAATAAGCGATTTTTAAATTTCGAAATTTAGAGCATATAAATTACTGAAAATAGGGTTCTCATCCACTATCTAGTTTTGGTTGACTTTGAATGATCTTATCATCACTCAAAATAGCTCTGTTAAAATTAAAACTTTGATTCCCATTTTTCATTAAAATTTGTTGTAAAATTATGATGAATTGCTAGAGCGAAATAATGATTTTATTTATAAGATAATTATTACACAAAGTTAGGTAAAAGGTTACAAATAAAAATCCAAAATTTTAATTTAAAAAAAAACATTTAACCTCTGTCAATCCATTGAAGAATTGTAGCTTTGTAAAGTTTTTGTTAAAATTCAACTCTACTACCCAGCCATCTACATCCTAAAATGTAACATGAAACATGATAATTCAGTGACGATTTTGATATCGTCTTCGTAAATGATTTTTTGATTTAGTATGGTGATGCCTACTGGGAAAGCTATAATTCTTCTGCAATAGCGTTTAGAATTTGTTTGTTTACGTTTTCATTGCATACTATGTTTTACTTAAATGGACTGTAAAATAAAAATGAATCATATTCAACAAATACGCAACCAATCTGAAAACGACGATATCCCACAGGAGCCTGAGAATCTCAGGTTTGCTCCTATTATAATTTTTTATTTTTATTTTGTATTTTAGATAGATATAATTGATAATATAATTACCAGCATGCAGGTTTACCTGAGTGACCGGCACAGTTATTGTGGCTGCTAAACCAGTTCCAGGTGATGCCCATAGAGTCCACTAATCTCATTTAACCTCTGTCAATCCATTGAAGAATTGTAGCTTTGTAAAGTTTTTGTTAAAATTCAACTCTACCACCCAGCCATCCTCATCCTAACATACATGAAAAATGAGAATTTAGTGACGATTTTGATATTGTCATCTTAAATAATTTTTTGATTTAGTATGGTGATGCCTACTAGGAAAGCTATAATTCGTCTGAAATAGCGTTCAGAATTTGTTTGTTTACGTTTTTATTGCATACTATGTTTTACTTAAAGGGACTGTAAAGGAAAAATGAATCATATTCAACAAATACGCAACGACGAAATCCCACAGGAGCCTGAGAATCTCAGGTTTGCTCCTATTATAATTTTTTATTTTCATTTGGCATTTTTAATAGATATAATTGATAATATAATTACATATAGTCCATATCGTCCGTATTACGTCACCATTACTTCAGCCAATGGCAGTACAGTATACTGGTCACGTTATTTCTGTCTGTATCATATCACGTGACAACGATACTGCACTGCCATTAGCTGAAGTATTATTTTTCTAATTTTATAATATTTTCCAGGAATTCGATTTTTGCCATGAATTGGTAAAAAAATGTTGAATTTGCTACAATTAGATGCAAAAAAACGCAAAGTGTAGCATGTTAAAAAATTGAAAGGAGAATACAAATTTTATTTTATAATTTACTACTCATTTGCAATTTTATAATTTACTTCACATTTGCAATTTTATAATTTACTACACATTTGCAATTTTATAATTTACTACACATTTGCAATTTTATAATTTACTACACATTTGCAATTTTATAATTTAATACACATTTGCAATTTTATAATTTACTGCACATTTGCAATTTTATAATTTACTACATATTTGCAATTTTAAAATGTACTGCATATTTGCAATTTTAAAATGTACTGCACATTTGCAATTTTATGATTTACTACGCATTTGCAATTTTATAATTTACTACACATTTGCAATTTTATAATTTACTACATATTTGCAATTTTAAAATGTACTGCACACTTGTTTTCGCACATGTATACATAGCAAATTTAAATTTTTTTAGAAACAAAGAACATTTATTGGAAATTTTAATTTTAGATTTTTTCTTGTCTGTAAATACAAACATGTAATTAATTATATGGTGTGAAGATGTAACAATTATGAACATTGTGTTCAAAATTCAAATATTGCGAGATTTCCCTGTCATTTTCTTTGTATCTTTAAACAACAATGTTCGTTTTGAAATATTAAACAGTTTGATATTAAAATCAAATGTATAGGTTGTTTTTAACAGTGTAGGCATTAGTAGATTTGATTTTTAATAGTGTATTCCAGCATGCAGGTTTACCTGAGTTACCGGCACAGTTATTGTGGCTGCTAAACCAGTTCCAGGTGATGCCCATAGAGTCCACTAATCAATTAATCAATTAGTCTATCAATCAATCAGCGTTTATCAATCAACAAATCTTAACAAATTAATTTGTTGTTTCACCTTTTTCACATATTTAGAGCCTGCACATTCAGCAGCTGTAGTCTGATGGGACAGCTGTGCAAGCAGGAAACAGCACAAACTAAACAAATAACAATTAGAACAGCAAAAACTAAACATATAACAATTAGAACAGAAATTAAACATATAACAATTAGAACAGCAAAAACTTAACATATAACAATTAGATCAGCAAAAACTAAAAATATAACAATTAGAACAGCAAAAACTAAACATATAACAATTAGAACAGCAAAACTAAACATAAAACAATTAAATCAGCAAAAACTAAACATATAACAATTAGAACAGCGCTGTAATAAATTTTGGGGCTATACTAGAATACTATCTTTATTATCTATGCTCATTTATCTATTATCAATGTTTCTGTTTGACCCTGACCGGTCAACTCATATTTATCTGTATCAATAAATTAGTATAGTATCAATAATTGTTTCAAACGGACGTATAGAGCCAGGGTTTTGGTTAGAGAGATAGAGTCTTAAAGACTGATTATTAGAGTTAGAGTCAAGTATAGGGAGATTGATCAGGACCTAGATCGTTACAGCACAAACCAATATATAACAATTAAAAAGCACAAACTAAACATATATCAGTTAGAACAGCAAAAACTAAATTCATATAACAATTAGAACAGCAAAAACTAAACATATAACAATAGAACAGCAAAAACTACACATATAACTTAATTAGATCAGCACAAACTAAACATATAACAATTATGATTAGCAAAAACTAAACATATAACAATAGAACAGCAAAAACTAAACATTTAGCAATTATGATTAGCAAAAACTAAACATATAACAATAGAACAGCAAAAACTAAACATATAACAATTAGAACAGCAAACACTAAACATATAACAGTTACAAACAGCAAAAACTAAACATGTAACAGTTAGAACAGCACAAACTTAACATTTAGCAGGCTGGCAGATGTGTAAGTTCCCAAAAATTGTTGGACCCAATGAATGTCAAAACGTTTTGACATTCATTAGAAGCATGAAACTAGGATACATGCTAAACATTTACTAAAAAGCCGTTAAGACATTATTTAGGTACAGGGTGTCCCAATAAACATGGGAATTTAGTGACGAATTCGATATCCTCTTTGTAATAAATTAGCATTGTAATACTTGATTTCAAAAGCCATAATATTGTTATGTCTGCTAGAGTTTATTTTATGAAAACTGTAAAAGACTGCAAAGATGTGTCTATAATGTCTCCGCAAGATGAACAGTGAAGACGGACAAGTTCTGTTTGTATACTGTAATTTTCTTGTTTTACTAAGTACAACCGTATGCAGTCAAAAGATAAACAAACAAATTGTAAACATAGCAACGAAACTAATACTAATACGACTAATACTCTTCAAATACAACAATTTTTAGTTAAAAACTAATCTTCTGCCTTAAATGTGGTCTTTGAATGGGTTATTTAATGATTTTACATCAAAAAAAGGTGATATAGTTGCTTGGAATCATAAATATAAAAAACAGACAGTATAAATTCCGTACAGTCGTCTCTGAAATCTCATCCTTTGTGGGTTTCCCTGTATATGTATGTAAGTGAGTTACCCTGTATATGTATGTAAGTATTATATATATGTATATTTGTGTAAAATTAAGTTCTACCTAAAGTTGAGGAACATGTTTCTCTGTCTGGTTTTCTCTAAACACTAATCCATCTATAGTCAAGGACAAACCAAGGGGACACACTGGACACATTTTTTATCCCCCTCCCCGACCCCTTTCTCAATTTCTACCACGCAGTTGTAGGGGCAACTAACTCCACCCCTTTTTCGGCCCCTTATTCATGATGGGTGAGGGTAGGTGTAACCCACCCTAACATGCAGCCATGCCTTACTCCTTTTTTTTAAATGTTGCAAAAAAGCTGTGAAACCAAAAGTGTCTGAAAATAGTTAAGCAGAAGACATTGTTATTATTTAAATAAAAACTACAATTATAATCTCAAGAAAGATTTGCTAAATTCAAATTATTATCTACATTTTTCTGTGTATAATTTATGATATTTTATGATATTCGTAATTTTCTTTTTTAAAACCGTAGTAATCTTTTATGATTTCAAAGATTTGATTTAGATACTATCACGAATTCTAAACTAAACTGTTTTCTCCATAGATAAAGATAGATTGCGCATAAGACGACATTTTTAATCTTNTCCAATATAGTTGTTGCAGCATCCAATATACTTCTTGTTGCAACATCCATTATAGTTGTTGCAGCATCCAATATACTTCTTGTTGCAGCATCCAATATAGTTGTTGCAGCATCCAATATACTTCTTGTTGCAACATCCAATATAGTTGTTGCAGCATCCAATATACTTCTTGTTGCAGCATCCAATATACTTCTTGTTGCAACATCCAATATAGTTGTTGCAGCATCCAATATACTTCTTGTTGCAGCATCCAATATAGTTGTTGTTGCAACATCCAATACAGTTGTTGTTGCAACATCTGTATTTTAGTTGTTAAGATTGTAATATAGTTGTTGCAAAAAAAGGCCGTGAAACTAGGTTCCCCGCTTCTCATTTTGCCGGGAAAATATATTTTGTGAGGATGGAAGGATAAACCTCGGACTTTGATTTGATTCCCGGCATCAGTTCACGGCTCTTTCTCTCCCTGTCTACTGATAAATACACAGACTGCTCATAAGCTCTTATACAGTATAGGCTAAGCTGGCCTCTATACTTGTCCCGGCACGACATGCTACATTTCCATGAACGGTTTTTGACTGCCATCTAATTACCACTTGTTAAATATGATACTCTTTCAGTGGTTAAGTTTTGCAACTTTTAAAGAAATATTCAAACTCTTAATATAAGACAAAAAATTTATGGATTTAGTCTATTTGTGAGGGGTTTATATTTCGTATCAAAAGGATCCTTAAATATCCCTGAATACAGACGTCTGTTTATTGATCGTGTACTCCAGTTGTACAAATGTCTCATTTTCTAGCCTTTATCGAATAAGCCTATACCCTCTTTCATTTTTCGCGAACACTCCCTTTAATATAAGACATAAAATTTATGGATTTAGTCTTTTTGTGATGGGTTTATATTTCGTATCAAAAGGATCCTTAAATATCCCTGAATACAGACGTCTGTTTATTGATCGTGTACTCCAGTTGTACAAATGTCTCATTTTCTAGCCTTAAATAGATCTCTGTAATCTCTTATCAGATATGAGATAACCTCCAGTTAGTTTACTGGTCATGGTGGCAATAATAACTGGGTTTGTTTTTCTAGGTTTTAAAGGGACTGTAAAGGAAAAATTAAAGGGTATAGGCTGAAATCTAAGCATTTTAGGAGTTGATCGAGACCCATGAGAGTTTTACCTGATGTTTCTGTCTCGAGAAATTTATATAAAACTGTATCTAATTTATACGAAAATCTTTATATATAAAACATTGTATAAAAATAGTAGGTTACACAAATCATATTCAGCAAATAACAATCTGAAAACGACGATATCCCAGAGAAGCCTAAGAAACTTAGGTTCCCTTCTATTAATATTTGAATTTAATAATTTTTCATTTATGATATTATTTATATATCCGTATATATTATTTATATGTCCGTATTACGTGACCAGAACTCCCACCAATATGGCAGTGCAGTATACACTATACAGGTCACATAAAACAGACAGTCACGTGATAATTTTTCCTTTACAGTCCCCTTATAGGCACCAAAAAATGCTGTTTCATAAAAATACGGTTCTATCATTTTTAAAACTTTATGCCGTAAAAGTTTGCTTTGTAATAACAATGTTATCCTCAGAAAAAAAAGTACCAAAAAGCTAGATTGTGTAATTTTTTGTTTATCAAAACACAGGTGAATTTAAAGTGTACAGATTACAGTGTACATATTACAGTGTACAAATTACAGTGTACAGATAAAAATGTACATATTACAGTGTACAGATTACAGTGTACAGATTACAGTGTATAGATTACACTGTACAGATTACAGTGTACAGATTACAGTATACTGATAACAGTGAACAGAGTAGAGATTACAGATTACAGTGTACAGATTATAGTGCACAGATTACAGTGCACAGATTACAGTGTTCAGATTACAGTGAACAGAGTAGAGTGTACAGATTACAGTGTACAGATTACAGTGTACAGATTACAATGTACGGATTTTAGTGTACAGATTGCAGTGTACAGGTTACAGTGTACATATTACAGTGTACATATTACAGTGAACAAATTACAGTGTACAGGTTACAGTGTACAGATTACAGTGAACAGAGTAACGTTTACAAATTACAGTGTACAGATTACAGTGCATAGATTACAGTGTACAGATTACAGTGCACGATTACAGTGTACAGATTACAGTGAACAGATTACAGTGTACAGGTTACAGTGTACAGATCACAGTTTACAGATTACAGTGTACAGATTACAGTGTACAGATTACAATGTACAGATTACAATGTACAGATTATGGTGTACAGATTACAGTGTACAGATTACAGTGTACAGATTACAGTGTACAGATTACTGTGTACGATTACAGTGTACAGATTACAGTGAACAGATTACAGTGTACAGTTACAGTGTACAGATAACAGTTTACAGAATACAGTGTACAGATTACAGTGTACAGATTAAAGTGTACAGATTACAATGTACAGATTACAGTGTACAGATTACAGTGTACAGATTAAAGTGTACAGATTACAGTGTACAGATGAAAGAGTACATTGTACAGATGAAAGAGTACAATGTATAGTCTACATTTATTCAACAATATTTAGTACAAAAATGTGAGGTTTATTACCGCAGTAAATACATGCTTATCTCTGTATATTTGTAGTCTAGATTTAATATTTACATGCACACTTCTTCTTATTTATACATTTTATTCTTTACTTCAAAGATTTTTCTTTAAATAAGAAAGAAAAAAGGAGAATTAACATACGGGTTACCGTCAAAAAATAATGAAGTGCCTTGATTCTTAAAGATTTATGAGAACTATTAACAGAAAGATTACAATGAAAGAAATTTTCTTCTATCAGGGTTTAAAAATCAAAAGATCTGAATTTATGAATTCAACAATAAAGGCACTGTTAAAGTAAAATTAATTGGAGTATATACTATTGGCTGAAGCCTAAATATTTTAGGAGTTGATCGCAACCAATATTAGTTTTATCTAATGTCCCTGTCTCGAGTAATTTAAATAAAACTGTATCAAAGTTAATCAAAAACAGCTATTTTTTCACAGTATCAAAATGATCAAAATTGGAATATTTATTAATTTAGATGAACCCTCTATGCAAAGATGGTAATGCCCTCTTCACAAGGGTACCAATTGAACACTTTAACAAAATATTGTCGTTTTTTAGGTTAGCTATAGCTGGCCGTTTGGATAGCTATAGCTAACATTTGTATATTAGCGAATAGCTTTTTTATAAAGAAGACTAAATGAAGTGCCCGGCGTTGTCCGTAAATAAAAAATCAATTTCTGAATGTAAAAAAAAGAACAATGTCATCAAAATTAATAAGGCACTCTGGGCCGTAGTAAATTTGAATTCGAACAGGACCTGCCCAGTACCTGTACCGGCCTGCCAGATAACAGCGTGTACTGACCTGATCCTATGGTACATTACGTCGCCCTAACCAGACTAACATACGACAGGGGTCAATTTTCTTGGCATTGTCCCGTCGGTAGGGCTGGGCGCGTTAACGATCGTTCTTTCCCGAGAACGAATGGAACGATCAAGAACGATCCCATCGTTCCGAAAAAAAAACGAACGCTTAGAACGCGTTCTTAAAAATATTGGAACGATTAGTAAAAGAACGGAACGGAACGGAACGGGAATTGCATGAAAAGAACGGTTAAAATCGTTAACGCGTTCTTATTTTCAAGAACGAGTTCTAAGTTGGGAACGCATTTTAAATCAGGAAAATGTGTTTACATTTCAGATTCACAACAAAAAATCTTATTGGTTGGGCAAACACCTATTTTCCAGCGTCTCTGTCGAATTATGGATATCAGAGCCCGCGATTTAAAAACTTCGGCTTGAGCCGTAATTGCTTAAACCCAACTTTAAGACCCGATCTTCGACCCAACTCTGACGACAGCTTGTGTAAGGTGATTGACAGCTCAAGATCTTCGGCTCGACCTAAGGAGTTAGTCCTAATGAAAATAAAACCGACCATGGTTGGTTTTAGTGGAGAATAAGTCTTATTCTCATCAAAACCTGGAATGCGCCAATTCCTACCATGAAAATCCGCCAAATAGAATATTAAACCGGTTTTTAGAACCCAACTCTGTGGAAAATAAGCCGTAGATAAGGCCTAACGACAGCTTAGACCCGAGTCGTATTTCACCCCGAACTACCCAGAGAGAGAGGCATTCGGTTTCTTTTATTTGAAATCAAACGTGTTTTCGTCTATATTTCTACAATCTTTAAACTTATGAATTTGTTTATTTTATACTTTTTCATTCAAAATGTATATGCCAACAAAAAATTATTTAAGAAAAAAGGCTAAAAAATTATGTATAAGGGGATAAATTGTGATCGAAAGTCACAGTTTCCTGAAATATTGACAGAACCGATAAATCCACGTGATTTTCCCGAATTTTTAAAATAATTTTAATTATTAACATGGTTTTGAAGAAAAACTAAATTATAGAATGTTGCGCGAAACAAAATAACAAAACTCGTTCTTTTATTTTAGTATTCT